TGCATCGGAAAGAAACATATTTATTCTAAAACCAGTTGTTGGCATGATATGTGTTATGTTCTTCTCATATATTTTATGATGGTATGATACTAAACCCCTAATGGGAGGGATTGTGCTTGATTTTCATATGATGAAGACATAATCTTTCAATCAGTTTAATTGAGGTCTGGAGCTGGCATGTCAGTAACTGCTAGTAGTCCTTTGTTAATTTATGTATCATTGTCATTATGCTTAGTTTCTTTTGTTACCTATTCTGACATCGGACTCGGACTTCTTTTAAACTGAGTTTTACTGTGCGTATTGCTGTGTGTTTATTTATTCTACATTGGCTAGAGGTATAAGGGGAGGGTTGAGATCTCACAAAACATGTTTAACCCTGCCGCATTTTTGCGCCTGTCCCAAGTCAGGAGCATCTGGCCTTTGTTAGTCTTGTATGTTTTTTAATTTTAGTTCATTTATATGTTTTGGAGTTTAGTATGACGTCCATTTTCACTGAACTGTAGTACACATTTTTGTTTAGGGTCCAACTGAAGCCCGCCTCCGGGTGCGGGATTTTCTCGCTGTGTTGAAGACCCATTGGTGGTCTTCGGCTGTTTTCTGCTCTTCAGTCGGGTTGTTTTCTCTTTGACACATTCACCATTTCCATTCTCAATTTTATCTTCATTCTCATACAGCCGCAGAAGTGATATCATGTGTGATACATCCGTTATATAAACGATATATAATAACGATATATTATACGATAATACAGTTTTGTAAAATAAGAATCACATTTCGTCTTACAATTTATAATAATATTTTAATTTCCCAATTAAACTGATCGCCCAGTGGCAGTGTAAGATGTGGTACCCCTTTTTGATACGAAAAGATATCAATTTTTTTGGCATAAAATCGTTTAAAATATCGCCACCACAGTAAGCTCGGCGCTAATTTGATCATTACTGTCAATTACGCTCCTTTTCTGCAAACCCAGGTTCTGGTGAAAGGATAACGATTACCAAAAAAGACTTGTCTAATAATCTTTATTCCGACCTTTTAGAATTGCTAAATGTGCATTCCTTTGATTTTATTTTTGTATTTAATCATGCCATATCCATTTAATGTAAATGTGTTTGTGCAAATGAATAATGTCTAAAAAGATGCCTTCGTTTCGTTGAACCTTTTCCAAGTATATTGGTTATAACTTAGTGTTTGCAATTATATATACATTTCCAGAGGACTGAATTTGTAAAAGTTTTTTTCTTAAGTTATGCATATTGTTTGACATGTATCACTATCTTTCAATTTCAAGCGGAATTAGGTATCATGCAAGGGAAGACAGTTTACTCTAACCAGAAACTAAAGACGAGAGGCCCAAAAATCATCTAATTTTGTTAAAACGGGCTGCCTTGCTTGTGTAATGTAAACAGAGCGGTGTTCACCGAGGCTACGGTAGGGGTTTTGCTCATTGATGAAGGTGTAATACCACCAAATTCAAAAAGGGTCGAAAAAAACATTCCCTTGAATTTGACAGTTGTATGAAATTAACCCTTGCATTTCATTGCAGAAAAAAAATTCTGAGTCATGAATGTATATCTTGTGTGTTTTAGAGCACCATTCTTTTTTATTTGGTGTTTCTATAAAATATTTTGGAAACTTGAGGCTACATGCTTACTAAAGCTTGTACACAGGAAAAAAGGGGTTAAAATTTGATTGGTTTACTTCCAGTGATGGTTTTTATCTTATATGCAATGAAATATTATGTGAAATTTTGTCTGTAGTACTGGACAGGATACAGTTTGACTCATGCCAAGTATTTCTTTATTAAAAAAAAAAGATAAATTCTGCACAATTTTTTGAAAAGGCAAATCTAACAAAGACTTATAAGGGAAAACAATGATGGTATTATTCCTGAAGGCCGTACGATTACCTGTAATAGTTATATTTTTGGCCTTTGGTCTATGGATTTTTCGTCATTGACCATCATACCACATACTTATAGTTGTTTGTCATTTAACCGTAATTCCCCCCTCCCCCCCCCCCCCCCCCCCAAAAAAAAAAGAAAGAAAAAAAGAAGAGAGAATACAATTTAAGTTTGTGACTCATAGCCTAATAATAGAAACAGAATCTTCCAAAATATAAAACTGCAATGACGGCGAAACTCCATTTGATTTTGGGGAGGGACGATTTGAGTTCCTATTTTAGAAATAAAAAGTGATACATCAATCATACTTAATTGAAGCAATTCTCTCATATTGTACAAAGATGTTTTGCAAAATCTGAGAGACCATGACCTGCAAGTCATACATACTTGAACAACAGGTTTAAGAAACCAACACTTTTCTCGGATACTGAATTGCGCAGTGATACCTTTATATCAAACAACCGTGCGTGATAGAATCACTGACAACTGTGACAAAATACTTTTAATCTACTACAATTTTGTGAAAAGTACAGTAAATTCTTTTACAAATTAAACTTATAAATAATAGATGTGCACTGGTGTGATCACTACCAAATCCCCGGTAACTTAAAACCCATGAAATCAGATTATATACTGACCGCCGAACCGATTCACATCATAATTACATTTATGTTTCATAAGAGTACGTACTTTTGATTGGATGGCGTTCCAAAATCAAATGTTATTTCTTATTAAGGTCAGGTTACAGTAAATGAGCTATGACACAAATTTTGTTAAAATTTGCATACAACTTTGGTTCGTTGAACTTTAACTGAATATCGAAAAAATTATGCATTTATCTCTTTTATATTCTGAAATAATAGTGATTGAAATCTTCCAAAAAAGGTGAATATTTGTATAGAAGGCACATCAAATCGCCGAAAAACGTTCTTAAATTTGTCTTTAAATCTATCAATCTCCATTTTCAAATCCATAAATTTTTCTTTAAAAACTATATGTTGTTGGTACATACATTTCCATTTTAATGATGTAAAATAATAATAGGGTCACCGACTTCGTTTTAACGGTATACATCATTCAAAATTGTGTTCTTATCTAGGTAAAAAAATACCACAAAACGTCGAAATAATCGTTGTAGGTCATAAAACGTCGATTTTTTTACGTTTTTCACTACAAACTAGTATGATAACTTAGTATCTTTAAAACTAAAATTTATATATCAACAACTAATAGTTGTTTAAGACAAATCTATAAATCTAAATTGTAAATTTGATGATTTTAAGACAAATTTAAGAACGTTTTTTGGCCGATTTTATTGTCTCGCCTTGACGGGAGTCAAAAAGCGAGACATAGGTATGCTGTTTCCGGCGTCGGCGGCGGCGGCGTCAACAATGTATAAGTTTGTGATTAGGTCTAGTTCATGGTATACCACTAGTGGTAGGTCAGTGATATTTGGTATGCAGTTGTATTAGCATTGGCACATCTCATTACCATGGAGATTATTTGGCCCCACCCCCTCAGTCAAGGTCTATTGACTTTGAAACTTTTCATAGTTTACATGTATTAGTTTGTGGTTAGGTCAATTTATGGTGAACCACTAGTGGTAGGTCAATGATATTTGGTATGCAGTTGTATAAAGCATTGGCATATCTCATTCCCATGGAGATTATTTGGGCCCGCTCTCTCAGTCAAGGTCTATTGACTTTGAAACTTTGCATCGTTTACATGTATTAGTTTGTGATTAGGTCAATTTATGGGGAACCACTAGTGGTAGGTCAATGCTATTTGGTATGCAGTTGTATAAGCATTGGCACATCTCATTTCCATGGAGATTATTCTGCTCCGCCCCCTTAGTCAAGGTCTATAGACTAAAAATTTTGCGAAGTTTACATGTATTAGTTTGTGATTAGGTCAGTTCAATGGGAACCATTAGTGGTAGGCCAATATTAATTGGTGTTCAGTTGTATAAGCATTAGCATATCTTATTTCCATGGAGAATATTTGACCCCGCCCCCTCAGTCATGGTCTATTTACTTTGAAACTTTTGCTCAGTTTACATGTATTAGTTTGGGATTTGATCAGTTTAAGATGAACTGCTAATGTTAAGTCAATGATATTTGGTACGCAAATTTATTTGCATTTGCAAGTATCGTTTCCATGGAGATTATATAGTCCCACCCCTGATCATGGTTCATTGACTTTGAAACTTTTACATAGTTTACAAGTTAATGTTTGTGTTTAGGTTTGTTTAAAGGGAACGACTTATAATAAGTCAATGGCATTTGGTATGCAGTTGTATTAGCATTGGCACATCTCATTCCATGGAGATTGTTTAGCCATGTACCTTCAGTCATGGTCCATCGACTTTGAATATTTGCATAACTTACATGTTAAAGTATTGCTATTCTAATTTCAACATTTGCATTATCAAAAATACAAAAAGGCGAGACATATCTCTGTGATAACAGTTTATGTGCTTTCTATACGAATGCTCGCCTATTTTTTAAGAATTCAATTAGTCATATTTCAGAAAATAAGAGTGAGAAATTCATTTTTTCCCCATTTTCATGTATAGTTCAACGAGCAAAAGTTGTATGCCAAATTTTACCCAAATCTGTGACATAGCTCATTTACTGTTCCTCGACCTTTAATGAAACATTCATGACTGCATATGCTTCCCATGACAACATCATGAAAATGCATTGGAAAACCAACCAAAGCCTGGTATAACTTGTAATTTCATGGCTGTAGCATAGTCCATATATATATATATATATATATATATATATATTTCAACAAGTCTCTGAGGTGTCCATAGGCGGCATGTTGCGGCATGTTGCAAGCCAACATTTCTGCCCCTGTCCATCAAATTTATTTTGCAGTTCTGAAACATCAGGACATCGTGACATTTATTTTACACGTGGCTGTCCAAATTGAAGCTTTTAAGAAAAATTCTTAGAATACATGTTTCCTATTCATTATACAAGTCTCACCAACTAAAATATAACGGTATAGTATATTTTTATCGTAACATATAAAAGCATTAGTCTTAACTGGTTGTTCTTAATGCTAAAATATTTTATTTTGTATTTCAAAGTCGGTCGTAGAGAAAGTAGAATTGCAGATCCAACCAAATGACAGTAAAGAAAAGGACGTGTCCGTAGTTGATAGCTTCAAACCAGTGTATGGTGTAGAAGATGTTCCACCATGGTATCTCTGTATATTATTAGGATTTCAGGTTTGTAGTACAGTTAGTTTAAAAATAAAACAGGCATCCGTTGAAAAACGCACATTTTCCCGCCTTTACAAATTATAGAAAAGTCTTAACAAACAATAACACCGAATAATTCTTGTTTCTTACAAACATATTATATCAAAGATCGATCAGTGGTACAAGTATTACCTAATAGAAGAATAAATCCCTCTCCTCGAGTAATAGTAAAAAAAAACGTTTGATTTATCTACCCTTTACACTTAGTAACCCCATTCTAAACTTGAAGAAGACAGATTGTAAAAACTTGTCTAACATTGCTTTATAAAAAAAAAATGGTCAACGTGGATACAAATATCTGTTTTTAAGGAAGAAACCTAACACACCGTTTAAAAAACCCCTCTTATTCACACTTGAAATTCCCTGAAACTGACACAACCAACATGCCCCAGATCTTTTTATTGACAACATATTTGCTATGTTTAGGGACGCGTTTTTCAGCCTACAATAGGAACCAAGTGCTTGCAGACTTGTTCCTTATTCTTACTTCAAACAGGTTCTTTTCGAGAAAAAAATGGAAGAATCTAGCATTATGATTCAACTTCAAACTCAGCTATATATAGATGATATCCGCGAAATGTCATAACTCAAAGTTTGATCACTTTTGACAGCATCGACCCAAATGAACTTTAAATTAAGAATACCACAGATACAGTTAAGTCTGCTTTTAACTTAAATCTCTGAATTGGCAGTGAGGGTTCGGTTAAGACCTAACTTTACAACAGAGATGGTTTCAATTATCCCATTACGAATTTCCCATTTCTGTGTAGCAAAATTCCAGGATTGCCTGCACATGGGATAAATATCTCCAAGTTTATATGATATTCCAGGTCTTGCGTTTCCTATAAAGATTTCCTTGATGGAGGGATACTGCTAACAAGAAAGAGGGGGAATATTATAAAGGGATAGTCAAACACATAAATTGAAAACGAACTGACAAATGCCATGGCAAAAACATAAAACGACTAAAAGACAAATAACAGTGTACAAAACACAACATAGAAAACTAAAACTGAACAAAACGAACCCCACCAAAAACCAGGTGGATCTCTGGTGCTCCGGAAGGGTATGCAGATCCTGCTCCACATCTGACACCTGTCAAGGAACCAAATGTGTCAAGGGCTTCAAAATGATAAAAAATAGTCTTCCCTTCGCTTTTACGTGTTTAACATACACCATCATGATTTGGTTGATCGTTATGGAATAGTTGAGTCACAGATGAATACGACTTATCACCGTATTTTCACTTGCAATGATTACCGTTCAAGGGCACCTTAGTTCACTCCATGTATTTGATTGGATCGTGTTGCTCTATCTGTAGTTTTCTCTGTACTGTTTTGTTATGGTAGTTTTTCATTTCGTCGTTTTGGCCATGGTGATGTCGGTTTTTAACAACAAGTTTTTCATTGCCTCTTTTGTATCTTCTCTCTTTAGTTATATATTTTTTTTTAAATCCTCTTTCTTCACTTACCTTATTTGGTCCGTTATTTTACCAGGAATCGACCATACTTCTTATTAATATTTTATTGATAAAGCAGTATTCATTTTCAGCACTACTTAACAGCATTTGGATCAACAATAACGGTTCCTTTTGTTCTGTATCAAGCCTTATGTATCGGAGAAGACGGTGTTGGACTCAGCCAGCTTATCAATACGATATTCTTTATGTCCGGGCTGAGTACCCTCTTACAAACCACATTTGGTATTAGGTAAGTATCCGTTTGTGGTTTGACAATCTCATTGTACCATTCCTTTACATCTGCTCTATGAATATCAGGTACGTATTCGAAGATGTAAGTAGAACTGTCCATGCTTTCTCTGTACCTCTAGCTCTATGTATATTGTTTATATAACCAACCCCGAAAAATGTATTAGGTTGGCAAGTTAAATGTACCAGCAAAATATATAATTTTATATGATAGTCATCTGTCGAGAGATGAACGGAAATTGGTTATATAATTATTATGTTTTCAAACAACCGTTAGACATTTCAGTGATGGATTCAGAGGGAGGTGTTCCCTTATAAAAACAAATGTGTAAATGCATAATTGTTTATCGTTATATCTCCATCTTTTCTTTTGCTTATTATGTAATAGCGATCCTTTTTTTTAAATCCTGTGAAACCGGAGAGCATGATTCTTCTTACAAAATCATCATTGTCTCCTCCGGGAATCGAACTCAGGACCTCTGTGTTACAAGGCAGCGCGTATACCGACTGAGCTAAAGAAGTACTTCCTTCAATCGACCGCTTACGGCTGACTAAGTATCTACTTATGAAGGGAAGCAATCCCGTCACATCTGGATACTCCACCGCAAAATTCTGATCTATAAACTGAATGTTGTTATTAAAGTCATGCCAGTACCGACTCACTGGCTGGTGAATAGGGTGATAGTACTTTCGGGACCTTAACAGTAAACCAGCAAGCAGCAGTAAAGATTCAGTGATAATAAAATAAATTATGCTACTGATTAGACACGAGTAAACAAATTGAATAAAGGTATGCATTAACCATAAAGACAACCTCGCAAACATCTTAAGTAGTCCAAATAATTATGACGTCTTGCAAGGCTATTTTGATTTTTTTTCTGTGACTAGGAAGGCGTCACAGAAAAAAATGATAAAATAGCCTAGGAAGGCGTCACAGAAAAAAAATTAAAATAGCCTTGCAAGACGTCATAATTATTTGGACTACTTAAGGTAGATTCATGGTATACCGCCATCTTGGATTGTACAATCTCAGTACAAAATTGGTCTAGTTATTTGCCCAAATCTGCAAATTTGGAGACAGATTTGCAATTTAATGGTTAGATTGTCTATTTATATAAAGAAAACTTTGTTATTTATTGTGATATTTAAAATATTTAAACAAATATCAAATTTTGTGTTTTGAGAATATTTTTTTTTCAAATAAGCCATTTAAGGGGAGATAACTCTTTTAGTAAAAAATATATACTGGACTGATAGGGATTTTTTTTATTTTTACTTGTAGCAAGAAAACAAGTTCGGTGACATCATTTTTTCTTTTTATTTTTTTAAAACATATTATAAAACCTTTCTTCTTGCAATTCATTTCAAAATTCTATCTCATAGAATTTTTTTTATGCACACAAATGTGTTTTTTCATGAACAATCTAACCAAATTTAGGCAATTTTCAACGACTCATAGCTTGGAAAATAGCACGGTGACCCATACTTTTTATTATATTTTTGAAAAAAGCATAGTAAAATCTTCCTTTTGGCAAAGAATAAGAAAATTCTGTCTCAAAAAGTATATACTTATGATCTACCTTAAGGAGTAGCATTTAGATATTATTGAAAATCAAAGATAGTGACAATGATAATTGCTGCATAATTTCATTGAACGAGGAAGGATCACTTCGTCGTAACGCTTTTTCACACAATGTCCAGTTTCTCCGGAATTGAATTCATACTCGAGGCTTTTTCAAAAAAGATCTTGAATCTTAACAGCAATTCACAGTGTAAAAGCTTCCAATGTGTACTTTGAGATTCTACAAAATGATGCCATATATGTGACCATATGAGGAAATTTTAAAAAGCTCATAGGTGGCACAAGGCATCAATTTTAATAGACTTTGGTAAAGTAGGATTTCTATGATAAAAGCCATCTTTTGTCCCCTGAAAAAATAATCATGTGAATTCTATTGATCAATAAATGATATAATCTGGACACTTTAGTGCCGTAATGTCATTTGTAATGTTATTGTGAAGTCATAAACAAATGGAAACTGACGTCAATATATTACCTAAATTGCCCATTTTGCCCATAGTTTTTTGGAAAATTTAGAAATTCAATATTCGTCAACGCTTTCCCCAGAAATTTAACTTCTACATATACATCTTTGTGGTGAGGTCATTTTCCATGTAATTATGTTTTCATATTTACACATGTCATATTATTATGTAAAAATATATTATATCATAGTTCATATCTATTTACAGGTTGCCTATAATTCAGGGAGCTACATTTGCGTTTTTGGCACCCACCACAGCTATACTTGAACAAATGGGGGAATGCTCTATGGTAAAAGGTGACAGTCATTATTTGATTAGAAGAAAAAATACATTATAATAAGATACTGAATGGTGTTAAAAGTTTAACAAACCTTTTAGATTTATTTTCTAAATATTCACATTTGTAATCAAAGTACTAAAGTACTGAACATCGGATGACCGCAAGTTCTTGTGGATGGTCACAAGCACTTGTCTCAGAAAAAAATCTGTATACCTGAAAGTGAGGTTAATGTACAGATATATATTTTTTTCTGAGACAAGTTCGTTCGTGGATGATGAATAAATGACAGGGAATTCAACGTCACCGTAATAACTATTATATTGTAGTGATACAAATCAATATTATTAATTCGTATATTTTAACTAATTTGATTCGTTCAGGGATAGTCACATGTTAAACTATATTTTCGAAGGTAGAGAGAAAACGGCGGATAGCAAAAAGCATATTGCACAGCAAAAAGCATATTGCACGGTTATTTTTAGAATATCTAAAAACCGATATACTTTGTGACGTCATGTTATGAATTTCATGATATTGTTAAAAGTTTTATAAAAAATATCTATGATCGATTATTTGAAGAAAAAAAATCTTCAAATACATAACATGTAAAAAAAAAACATCAAAAAAGTAAAATAAATAACAACTAATCTGTTGTTATGTCTAGGACACAGTATGATATCTATAAAATTACAACAAAATCAAATGACGATTTTGATACAAATATGGTCGGAAATTAATAATATAACAATTATAGCCTATTTATGAGGTCAATACAGGATATATCGACCCAAAGAAGTATATCGACCTCGGACTTCGTCCTCAGTCAGTATACTTCTTTCAGGTCAATATATCCTTGAATTGACCTCCTACAAAGGCTATAATTGTATAATATACTCTGGTTTGTCGTCATGTATATGTTGTGTACAAGTTATCATTTTGTACAAATTATAATTTGTACAATTTTTTTGTACAAATTATTATTTGTATTTTGACTTTGTACAAATTGTAATTTGTACAAAAAGTGCTTGTACAAATTACAATTTGTACAAAATTTGACTAAAATTTATTATAACTTGTACAATAATTTATAGTACGGATTTTGTTATAAAAAACATTGATACACAAGGTAGAATCTTTATTCAATGACCCCACAATAAACCTTATTTAAAAAATACAAAAATAGTTCTGTATCATTTGTTTGAGCATGCGAGTGAATTATGGCATTGGGAATTGCACAACATCTTTTCCTTTTTACATTTACATTTAAAAGTGCTTCACCATTTTTAAAAAAAAAAAAATTAACTGCTTCACGTAGCGAAAGTTGAAGCTCAGGAATCGTAGCTGAGAATTAAGATGTGTCCTTAACAGCTTAAATTTGACTTCATGATAAATATCCTGTTAAAAGTCCTACAGCTGTTACAATGCGGTACCCTATTCTCAAGATTAAAATAGTACACCTCAGATATCTCGAAGATCTTTTTGACACGATCATACTGAGGAATTTGTATAATGATATTCATGACCCCCACCCCCCACAGCAAGTTCTGATAATTTCCATTACGTTTTCTTGCTTAGATATTCGGCTTGGATCTTTTAAAAAATACGACTGTTCGCAGGTTTCGGTTAAATGTGCGCGAATTCATTTTACAGGTATTAAAATTAGTAAAGATTTTTACGCGCAAATGTATTGATAATGCGCGCAAATGTAATGCACCGGAATCTGTTGTCCAGACAGCACACGCTCATGATTATCAAAATTGTCTCTGGCCAATTTGTATTATACTATCAGATTTGTCACTTGGGCCAATTTCTTTTATACTATCAGAATTGTCACTGGGACCAACTTTTATTATACTATCAGAATTGTCAGTGGGGCCAACTTCTATAATACTATCAGAATTGTCAGTTGGGCCAATTTTGTCGTACTATCAGATTAACTGACATGGATGTAACAATTACATTTCCTGTCTCCATTGGGGTATTTTTTGTATTTTGTAAATAAGGTTTATTGTATGGTCATTGAATATGAATTCTATAATGCGTACCCATGCTTGTTTATAACAAAATCCGTACTATAAATCATTACAAGTTATAAGTGAATTTCAGTCAAATTTTGTACAAATTACAATTTTTACAAAGTCAAAATACAAATTATAATTTGTACAATTTTTTACACAACATATATAGTATATTAATGTTTGTATATAACAGTTACATGTATATATAATTTTCATCCATTTGCATATCATTCTATTCTACTATTCTAATAATAGTGCAGTGCAAGTGCATGGTGGACACTCTTCTGTAATAATTCGATTTTTCTAATAGATTGGATTTGAGCAGACATTCATATTTTCCCGCAAAAAGTTGAATCATACTGCTGCAATTTGTGCTGTGTACATACCATTTTTATTAATATCTTTTAATATTTGAACGCACCAAAGACATTATAAACCCTTATTTAATTCACCTTAACTAATTTAATTTTTGAATTATATTCTATCATATTGTAAATATAAAGATATCCGCTTTTTCGGTTAAGTAAATATTTTAAGATTGCTCATCCGATAAGTGGAGTGCTTCGAATATAAACGGAGGTACACACCTGAACAGAACAGACATTCTTCCGCATTCGTTAACACAAATTTTCTGTACGTGTGCATAGATATTATCAATGATTTTTTACTTATATATATATTTCTAACGACAAAACATTTTCATATTATTAAATTATGTTCTAAACAAAAATATTTTTTATTAGTATTCATTGAAGAAATGAATTTAATCAAGCGATAAGGAATGTTATTTTGCACTCGATAATGTCCGCGTATATAGATTAGTTACCAGTCAAACACGAAAGTTACGTAAGTAGAAATCTCGTCGACAACAATACATCAGAATGCCCTCACGGTCATCGTGATGTAAACAGCAATGAAAAAAAAATCATCTCAGGGATTAACATATGAATACAATAGTACGTAGGGCATATGTCATATAGTTAGCAGTCCAACTTCACAAAAACCTGAAAGAAATCTCGAGATCAACAGACAGACACATTTGCTTGTATGGCAAAGTCTAAATCGTCTTGAATTAAGACGGACATTGAATAAATTTTGTCAGAGACTACCGAAAAAGTGCTTCCATTTTCCTCAAGAGACAAAAAAAAAAAATGACAAAAGGAATAGAAAATACATTGAGACATAATTGACAACAACCACTGACAAGGTACTTTACGTATGACAGGAATATTACTAGATGTACTTAAGCGCTTTTTAGCTGATATCAAAAAGTACAGAGACTAATGCACATTGAAATCACTCAGCAGTATCATTTTACACTTTAGTACAGGTTTAACAAACAAAAGAACCTAGTTACATGTACAGCAAAACTAAATGAAGCGTTTGTAAGTGTGTTCATAGGTACTGATGACTTGCACACAGCTTTTAATTAGAAACTATGACCACAGGCACTTGTCTCTGAGAGACAAGTGCCGTTGACTATGCCTTCTTACATTGTAATCGAACGTTCTACATTGAAGTCGTTTTTTATGAGCAGTGCAAAATATGCCCTATATCGTACAATGCATAGAGAAAATTTGTGTACAGACTAGGAATATATAAAAGAAAAAGTATACTCCTGCTCGTTATAAGACAATGGCGAAAAATTCCATGCTCAGTTGATGTTAAAACATAAAAGTATCGTCGAACAGGAAGTGACCAACTGGCGTATATAAAAAAATCGCTTACTAGTACATGCATGGTACAACTCAATATTATAAAGTTCAACCAAATATCAAACAATTCCTTAATAAAGAAACTGGGTAATATGTACGTAATAAAACTTCGAATTGATTGACAAGTTCATTGGAGCATACTACAATACCACCACTCTCTATCGTTTTGTGTTTTTTGGATCTATGTTAATAACTTTAAAGGTACCAATTTTACTGCACAAGATGTGCATGCGAGGTTAAGACATATTCAACGATTTATATCACTGCCATAATAGGTTCACGATGGATGACTTGTAGTTGTTAAAATCCCCGTCCTGTGCTCTTTGGTGGACTGTTGTCTGGAGATAATACTACATCTCCTTATATTAAACTGCATATCACTTTACATGATTCTTTATTTCAACAACGAACATGAATAATATCAAGCAAAACAATAATTATTTCTTGGCATATCCGTTCATTGTTGTTTTCGTAACATTCCTTACTGTAAAATATCATTCTTATTGCTTGTTCTTACTCAAATATAGGATATTTATTGTAGACGACAACGTTACCATAGCTGTTGGTAGTGATGAGCACAGAGAAATCTGGCATGGACGATTGAGAGAAGTATGTCTTTTGATTCTTTTATAAAGCTTATACAGTTGTTTTTCTATTTAATTAAATTGTGTTTTTGGTTATTGCTTTATTGCTTTAAATATTGTTTTTTTTAATTTGATCTCTTGAAATATCTAGTTTCTTTAACTGTTGGGAAATTTTACTTTAAGGTAATATTTGAGTCTGCCGCCATCTTGGGTGTTAAAATAGCAGTAACCAATCGGTCTATATGCGTTTTCTTCTCTATAGGGGACATGTGTGCATATTCAACGCCGTTAAGAGTAGTTTTGAATAAATCATCACAGTCACGGTTGAATTTAATTTCTTGCATGTCAGTTTCTGATTTACTTTGTTCTTTTCGTTTTAGCACAACGTATAGCATGATTTAATTTATCGTAAAATAACAAACCGTTTTCAACATTTCAGGTTCAGGGTGCTATAATGATTGCCTCTTTGACACAAATTATAATTGGTTTCAGTGGAGTCATGGGTCTTTTGCTACCTCATATTGGTCCTTTGGCCATTGCTCCAACCATTAGTTTGATCGGATTGGCATTATTTCCAGCAGCATATGAGTTTGCCTCCACTCAGTGGTATATTGCTCTTACGTGAGTACTTTATTTATACTGTTTATACTCGAAATAAAATTACTTGGTGTGGCAGTTCATTGAAACTACCTTTACTGTATATTTAATGATTTAAGATCATTGATAACAATCTTGTTTTGTAAAGTTTTTCATTGTTATTTATTTTATAACAAAATTCGTATTTATATAATCCTTCATTGTTGCTGTTTTATATTACAGGACGGTATTTTTCATAACCCTGTTTTCCCAGTACTTACAGAATGTTAGTTTTCCTATCTTTAATTATGACAGACAAAATGGTTGTCAGAAACAAAAACTGTTCATCTTCAAACTATTTCCGGTAAGTTACTTACATCATATGAAATAATCATCGTTGTGCTTTACTGTCATTAGAGAAATCAAATGTTTATAATGGTTATATTACTAATACATCTAGATTTTGATTTATGAAAACTAATTACTTTTAATTTTTTGGAATTATTTAGATGATAAAATTGTCCGCCTGAAATTGAATTAAAACACTGTTCCCATTCTTCTCCAATAGAATTAACGGCTTAAAATGAAACGTAGTTGACAACTTGTTATCCTTGTTCTGTTTCATAAGAACTTTATTACCCGGTTCTAACGGACTTTTTAATTGCATTTCGCTTTCATCAGAATACATTTTCCCTTTTCTTTACGTTCTTGATCTCTATCTCTTACTTCGATATCTTCTTTTGATGAAGGTACTACAATTCTGGTTCTACGGAGTATCAAATTTCCTAATGCACACAGTTCAGACCTTACAGTCAGATACTGTTTGTATTTCAGCTCAAACCATCAACCAGTTCGTAAACTGTTCAATGGTATTCTTGGGGAAATTAAGGACACTTTTAGATTTTAGGAAAAAAGTCATTGTTTCGCAAAATTTTCAACAGGGGTTACATTTTTGTTTAATTTCTGACAGTTAACAATTAATTAAATATAAGTATTTTACTAAAATAAGGTACCTGGAATTCTGAGGAATTCCTAAATGTCTTGGTACTTACGTTTCTAGAAATATAAAGTTAAATTATACTGCTGTACATTTTTAGGATATCACATTTTATTATCATCATTAGCCACTATCTGGTATTCAAGAAAAAACATAAGCAGCCTCAACGTGAGTGTTTAACTTCGTTGTTGAATTTTAGTTATTTCGTTTGCACTTGGTATTTTTCTTTTCTTTTTGCTCGTTCGTTGTGCTTTTAATTACTCCTTCGTCAGTTTTGAAACAAAAAATGTTACTAACGATGCCCAACAATATCGGTTGTCACTCATATAGCTTTGTTTCACAAGCTGTCATTTTGTATTATTTTACTTATATCTCAATTGTTTGTTCATTATACCATTATTTTTATAATTCCGTTAGAGGCAACAGCAGTTGACCGATGTTCAAACTTCTTAATTCCATTAGAAGAATACAGATTAAGATAAAATAAACCAAAAAAACTGAGGGGATCGCATGAACTTTAAAAGTAGCGAGACCGGGTGCGTCGACAGTGTAAGCTTCTCCTGCTTAACACATGACTTGCAAAAAATAATTTGGCTTGATGTCTTATTTTTTTTTCAAGAAATCGATATTAGAGGAATCCCCTAAGGCTTGATCAAAAGTATTTGTAAATTTTTTCATATTACAATGCTTTACATGTTGTAAATTGTTCATTTGATTTGATTGGTGTGAAGATCTCATTTCTGCAATAAGTGTCTGATATAGATTATATAAGAAAATATAAAAAAATGGTATGTACAAATATGAAGACGATAGATGTCCAGTAGCAGGGTTGTAATGCTGAATTAGAATTACTTACTATTTACTATTCAACAATGAGCAAAACTCATGGCGTATAGTTTGCTATAAGATTCCTAGCATGACAAAATGTTGAACAATTCAAATGAGAAAATCAACGGTATGTTACAATACTCTATTATAATTTGTCTATCTTGAAAAAATCCCTTTTTGATAGGTGAAGTAAAAATTGTGAATGTAATACACAAATATGTATGAAGCGATGGAGGAGGTGTATTGATTATTACATAATTAAAGCCACATGAATGGATATATGGCTGGAGAGAATAAAGAAATATGGGTGAAGGTCAAAACATATCATCAAAACACAAACATAAGTCTCTGAACTGTGAACAAACTTGAATCTTTTTCTTGGTTGTTAAAAAGTAGAAGGATACTAAGGGGACAACACGGACAATACCATGACAAAACAAAAAGTCGAAAAAATAAACAAATATTTCACCAAACAAACCCTATTCATGTTCCTAGGAAGGATAATCCATCATTAATTTTCAGTCATATTTAATACAAAATAAAACTACCTGTTAATGTGCTAACAAACAATATAACTAGATTTGTGATATAATAGCGCATGGTGCAAACAGTATTCGTTCGAATATTTGACGAGATTAAACTTCTTACTTCCAAGCGCAAGTAACTGATTTCAATGCTGCCACAAATCTAGGAGCAAGATCATGTTGGCATTTCAATATGACTTCAAATAACAATGTTCGGATTGGAAAATAATCCTTTTTTGTTGTTATTAACTCGTATATTCCTTTTCATGTCTTTAGTTCTGTTGCTGTTATTTGGTTGCTGTTTTTTTAGCTCACCTAGCCCGAAGGGCCAAGTGAGCTTTTCTCATCACTTTGCGTCCGTCGTCCGTCGTCCGTCGTCGTCGTCGTCGTCGTCGTCGTCGTCGTCCGGCGTCGTCTGTTAACTTTTACAAAAATCTTCTCCTCTGAAACTACTGGGTCAAATTTAACCAAACTTGGTCACAATCATCATTGGGGTATCTAGTTTAAAAAATGTGTCCGGTGATCCGGTCAACCAACTAAGATGGCCGCCATGGCTAAAAATAGAATATAGGGGTAAAATGTAGATTTTGGCTTATATCTCTGAAACCAAAGCATTTAGAGCAAATCTGACATGGGGTAAAAATGTTTATCAGGTCAAGATCTATCTGCCCTGAAATTTTCAGATGAATCTGACAACCCGTTGTTGGGTTGCTGCCCCTGAATTGGTAATTTTAAGGAAATTTTGCCGTTTTTGGTTATTATCTTGAATATTATTATAGATAGAGATAAACTGTAACCAGCAATAATGTTCAGCAGAGTAAGATCTACAATTAAGTCAACTTGACCAAAATGGTCGGTTGATCCCTTAAAGAGTTATTGCCCTTTATAATCAATTTTTAACCATTTTTCGTAAATTTTTGTAATCTTTTACAAAAATCTTCTCCTCTGAAACTACTAAGACAAATTTAACCAAACTTGTCCACAATCATCATTAGGGTATATAGTTTAAAAAATGTGTCCGATGACCCCGCCCGCGAACCAAGATGGCCGACATGGCTAAAAAATAGTACATAGGGTAAAATGCAGTTTTTGGCTGATATCTCTGAAACCAAAGCATTTAGAGCAAATCTGACAAAGGGTAAAATTGTTTATCAGGTCAAGATCTATCTGCCCTGAAATTTTCAGACCAATCTGGCTAATCGTTGTTTGGTTGCTGCCCCTGAATTGGTAATTTTAATGAAATTTTGCCGTTTTTGGTTATTATCTTGAATGTTATTATAGATAGAGATAAACTGTCAACAGCAATAATGTTCAGCAAAGTAAGATCTACAATTAAGTCAACATGACCAAAATGGTCAGTTGACCCCTTAAGGAGTTATTGCCCTTTATAGTCAATTTTTAACCATTTTTCGTAAATTTTTGTAATCTTTTACAAAAATCTTCTCCTCTGAAACTACTAAGACAAATTTAACCAAACTTTTACACAATCATCATTAGGGTATATAGTTTAAAAAATATGTCCGATGACCCCGCCCGCGAACCAAGATGGCCGACATAGCTAAAAATAGAACATAGGGGTAAAATGTAGATTTTGGCTTATATCTCTGAAACCAAAGCATTTAGAGTAAATCTGACAGGATAAAACTGATTATCAGGTCAAGATCTATCTGCCCTGAAATTTTCAGACCAATCAGGCAACACGTTGTTGGGTTGCTGCCCCTGAATTGGTAATTTTAAGAAAATTTTGCAGCTTTTGGTTATTATCTTGAATATTATTATAGATAGAGATAAACTGTAAACAGCAATAATGTACAGCAAAGTAAGATCTACAAATAAGTCAACATGACCAAAATTGTCAATTGACCCCTTAAGGAGTTATTGCCCTTTATAGTCAATTTTTTACAATTTTTTCATAAATTTTGTAAATTTTTGTAAATTTTTACAAAATATTTTCCACTGTAACTACTGAGCCAAGTTCATTATAGATAGAGATAATTGTAAGCAGCAAGAATGTTCAGTAAAGTAAGATCTACAAACACATCACCATCACCAAAACACAATTTTGTCATGAATCCATCTTTGTCCTTTGTTTAATATGCACATATACCAAGGTGAGCGACACAGGCTCTTTAGAGCCTCTAGTTTACATGTAAACTCGACATTTCCTTTTACTTCTATTATAAAATAAACAAACTAATAAAAGGCTATATTTTTTTTTACAATAACCAACCTGTTATTTTATGTTCAGGTGTTGTTGGCCATGCTTCTTTCTTGGTTATTGTGTTACATACTGACCGTGACAAATGTTCTAACTGATGACGTCAACGGATGGGGATACTTGGCTCGAACAGATACTAATCCTGGTGTCATATCAGATGCACAGTGGTTTAGATTCCCTTATCCAGGTAAAATAAGTAAATGAATTGGCTCAACATGATCGAAAAGATAATCAATTTATAACACCACTGTTTACCTCTATGTCATTAGATTGTGTTGAACAATCATAGCCTATCGACGAGCTTTCTCTAAGTTAATTGTTATCTAATTCAGTGCGTCGTCATTTTGGCATCTCAAGCTCAAACATAGATAAAAAAAGACCTAACTTATCTGACATAAGAAAATAAAAGAATATTAAAGAAGGAAGCAAGTAATATACAAAGGACAACACTGGTGGTTTCAATCTATATCACAAACATTATTGTTGGTGCAAAATTAAGAATGTCACTTGAAGGTGTATGTGCAAAGGCAAAAAAATGAAAAGTTACGAAGGGGGTGCTGATGTAAGGACTACATACTTTGATTAGACTCAGACAACATTATCATCATAAGAAATAAGAAACAAATCCACAAGAACCAAATTGAAAACTATAAAATTGAACGAAGGAACCCCATCAAAAAGCCAATATTGGGGAAATTATAACAACAAATTGTATCTCAACTCTTATATTATTGTGGATTTTCTAGTAAATTCCTCACTTAAATCTCTTCATTTTTTTGTTTGTTTATATACAAGTAAACCGTGCGATCGAAATTCATCCTTAGTTGAATATCTAGTTTACTTGCGATTAGATTTTTTAAAATTTACTCCCGCCTGATAAAAAGCTTTGGCAGTTTGATGATATGTTTAGCAAAGTTCTCACAGATTTTGAGCTAAATTTGGGCCATTTGAGGTCAACTTCTAAATTTAAACGTTTTTGCATAAAGTCCAATTTCGATATGGTTTCTTAATGGTTGAATTAAAAAAGAACTTTTTTGCAAAAGCAAGACGAAATTACCGCCTTCCTTTTTTAGTCCCCTACCGACGAAGTCGAAGGGGACTTTAGGTTTGCACTCCGTCCGTCTGTCTGTCTGTCTGTTCATCCGTCAGTCCGGCAAATCAGTTTTCCACACTTTTTTTTTCATGCTTGAAGATATTGATTTAATGTTTGGTGTATTGTTTTATCATGACAAGTTACAGATCAAGTTCGAATTTTGTTCCGGACTGATGATTTTGTGCAGCTTTGGACTTTAGAAAATTCACTAAAATAGTTTTCCGCACTTTTTTTCGTTATGCTTGAAGATATTGATTTGAAAATTGGTATATAGTTTTATCATGACAATTTACAGATCAAGTTCTAATTTTGTTCCGGTCTGATGATTTTGTGCAGAGTTATGGTCCTTGGACTTAAAACATTCACTTAAATAATCAGTTTTTGTTGAGCCTGCGTCGCAAAAACGAGACATAGCGATCCTACATTCCGTCGTCGTCGGCGGCGTCCACAAATATTCACTCTGTGGTTCAAGTTTTTGAAAAGCCTGCGACTTTAGTTACAAAAGCGAGACATAGCGATCCTACATTCCGTCGTCGTCGGCGGCGTCCACAAATATTCACTCTGTGGTTAAAGGTTATGAAATTTTAATAACTTTCTTAAACTATCCTGGATTTCTACCAAACTTAGACAGAAGCTTGTTTATGATCATAAGATAGTCTCCAGAAGTAAATTTTGTAAAAAAAAAATCCTGTTAATCCTTATTTTACTTATAAATGGACTTAGTTTTTCTGCCAGTTAACATTACATTCACTCTGTGGTTAAAGTTTTTGAAATTTTAATAACTTTCTTAAACTATCCTGAATTTCTACCAAACCTGGACATGAGCTTGTTTATGATCATAAGATAGTATCCAGAAGTAAATTTTGTGTAAAAAAAATCCTGTTTATCCGTATTTTACTTATAAATGGACTAAGTTTTTCTGCTAGTTAACATTACATTCACTCTGTGGTTAAAGTTTTTAGAATTTTAATAACTATCTTAAACTATTCTGAATTCGTATCAAACTTTGGACAGAAGCTTGTTTATGATCAAAAGCTAGTATCTAGAAGGAAATTTTGTAAAAATTTATTTCCTGTTTTTCCGTATATTACTTATAAATGGATTTAGTTTTTCTTCCAGTTAACATTACATACAGTCTGCAGTTAAAGTTTTTAAAATATTTATTAGATTCATAAACCATCCTGGATTTTTACCAAACTTGGATAGAAGTTTTTTACAATCAAAAGATATTATCAAGAGGAAAAGGACTAACAGCAAAAGTAGGCGAGACACTTGGTTCTGCGGAACCCTTACAAATTTTTAACACTTTTTTTCGTTAGATCAAGTTAGAATTTTGTTCCAATGCAATGGATTTTTAACCGGTAGGGGACTATGTATTGCCATGCAATACTCACAGAATGTTTGTTTTAACTGGGTTTTTTTCGTAAACGTTTTGGAATTTTCATTTTAATTGAAATATGCCAATATAGGCAACAGTAGTTTACCGAATTTCAAATCCCATAATTCGATTAAAAAGATGCAAATGAAGGTACAAACAAAAAGTGACGGAATCACAAACGCTTACTTATTTCAAACTCAGATATTTTGATAAGTTATTCCTGAGACTATATTTTTACTTTTACAATCGAGTGTATATATATTAAATAACATTGTGTAAATTTACAGGGGAAAACAACAACAGTGTAGAATCACTATTTCATCGCATATCCTTAAGAGAAAAGTTTCGGGGACTTCTTATTCTTCTTCGTGTGGATAACCTTTGTTTTTATCATGTCAATAAAATAAAACATTTGCCATAAATTTATACTCATTTACGAAGAAAGAATTATTTTTTTTTGTACATGTCCTATAACATGATTGAAATTATTTATTTACAGGATAAACTTCAAAGTCGATATCCCAACTTTTGTTTATCTTTTTTAAACAATATTTTAAACCTTTTCTTTAAACATTATGATGTTTATTCAGGCCAATGGGGAACTCCAACTGCTAGTGTTGCAGGAGTATTTGGAATGCTTGCAGGTGTATTGGCATCCATGATAGAATCAGTAGGAGATTATTATGCATGTGCAAAGATATCAGGAGCACCACCACCACCCGTGCATGCAATTAACAGAGGTAAACATTCTACATATTATTGGTGTTTACTTATTACGTTTTAAAGCTACAACAGCTAATAAATGTTTTTATATTGCTAAATTGCTAAATAAATTTATCAGGCATCAACATTGATGGCATATACTATAATGTTTTTAAAAATATGATATCAATGACGAATTACTTGACTTTTGTTCTGAGTTTGTGTAAGAAAACATTGACAGTTGTCTTTTGACTAGATGAGTCAATTTCCAATAGAATAGGCTTTTGTTCTTTCAGTTTTTAGCTATGAAAATTCTCTTTCTGCTTGACTCAAAATATGGAATTCTGCATATTTCAAGAAATCTTTGTACTGATAGCTTAAAGTTAAGTACATTTGGTAGTTACTGTTTTCGAATTCATAGAATATAATATCTAATGTGTAACTAGTGTAAGACCAGTATTCTATAGCTTTATTATCAGAGTTTTTGGAACAAACATTTTCCCTAATTTTGCGAAAAAGGATTATATGAAGAGCAAATAAGCCCCCTTTTAGTTACACTATGATATTAAGTGCAATAGCGCCATAGATATGTCGAAAGTTTCCTTGTAAGTAGCATTAAGCAAACGATATAAAACAGTCATGTATTTTAGGCATTGGCATGGAAGGAATAGCCTGTGTATTGGCAGGTGCTTGGGGATCTGGTAATGGAACTACCTCATATAGTGAGAATATAGGAGCAATTGGTATTACAAAGGTAAGAATTGTCTTTTCAGTATGTATTGTGATTTTATGAAATATGGAAAAAAATATTTTTCCTTGTTCAATTGCTCAAAACACAATTCAAATTTTAAAATTACAGTATTTGCAATAAAAGGACAATAATATCCCTTGGTTACCGATGGTGGAAAATATTTTGAGTTTCAAAGATATTATTGTTCTCAGTCGATTATCTCTCTCACGAATAGGCACATGAAGCTTTAATACGTAAATTGTTTCCAATTGTATATAGAACGGTTATTTATCTCTTTAGGTTAAACAAGAACACTATGTACCATTCCCCAAAAATGTTATTACCGTTACAAATTTCTGTTGTAGAAAACATTACAACCACTTTGGTTAATGAACTGACCTCTAAGTCAATTCTGTTCCAACATAGGTAGTAATTCTATATAACACTCACTTTTGTTAATAACCGACATCTCGTTCACTCTCATTATGAAATTACGGACTACTTTTATCAATATATGTTATAACCATCCTTGTTGTACCCTTCCTCTTATTGTCTCACAGATAGACCATTGTGGTTAATTAACGAACCTCTAGATCTAAGTCACTTTCGAACTGTTCAAGATTTATTTGTTCAAATTCCAATATTGGAATTTAAATACTAAAGTTCCTTCATAAAATGTTTAAAGCATTTGCAACAATTATAGTGATTTGAAAATGTGATTTTGCGCTACATATAACTGGTTAAGATAATTTTGGTATAGTTTTAAAACTATACATGATTTTGTAAAATTTGGCATTGAAGGACCTCTAACCCAAAATGAATTATTTTGTTGTTGAAATAAAATATATAATAACATACTGTAGCCCTTCTCACAGTAGACATTTTATTTTTCTAAAGAATGTCTCTCAAGTAAAATTTTGGATAAGTTCTATATAATTTGGTAATGTGTATAATTAGGTTGTGATATTGTTAAAATCTCAAAATACACACATGAAACTGTGATACTGTGAATTTTGTTATCAAAGATTGTAAGAAGTTTTACAAAAAGCCCTTGATTGAAATAAATTTGAGAGAAACTGGCAATATCTCATATATGAGACGCGTCTGATGAAGTGCAATTATAAGCCTGATTTCTTTGATGACTTTTACATCTATTATTTTTGATAGGTAGGAAGCAGGAGAGTTGTCCAAGTAGGTGGAATTATTATGATTTTGTTGGGATGTCTTGGTAAATTTGGAGCATTGTTCGTAACTATTCCTAAGCCTGTTGTAGGAGGAATGTTTCTGGTTATGTTTGGTAAGTAAATACACTGGAAGAAAATGAAACATTTAACATTGATATAAACTAAAAATTTATTTATAAACTAAGTAAAAAAAAATGATTAAATGCAGATAAAAGAAATATTGTTTAGACACCTGACTGATTCAGTGCTTTTGAGTGACTTTATTTTTATTGACTTTGAAATGCAATACAAATTTAATGTAATTATTTTTTTGATTGGGAGATAGAAGATAATGGATTAAAATGACTAGAATTTTTGCTAGAAAGACAGAATTCGAAAACAAATAGGAAATAACTAATTAGTGAAGCAGTTTATCTGTTTTATTATCATTATTATATAAAACAACAAAATCATACATTTATATCATGTGTAGCACGAAGACAGCATTTCTTTAAATTCTAGACATCATCAAAATCTATTTCATATAGACTGTATTCAGTCTTGTATTACATTTGTCCATTTTTTTCACTAATTTTCTAAGAGATATTTAAACTAAATATGAATATTTACCTTAACAGGTATGATTACAGCTGTTGGTCTGTCAAACTTACAGTATGTTGACATGAGATCATCAAGAAACATCTTTATCTTGGGAGTTTCCATATTTTTTGGATTATGCTTTCCATCATGGATGTCCAAAAACCAAGATAAAATTAACACAGGTAAACTTGTAGTATAGTACATTTTGTGACAGATAAACCAGTTAATCCAAAAACACATCCAAGTATGGCAAAATATAGTTTTAATATGTTTTTCTACTTCTTTCAAATTCTTAGGACAACATATTTTACATACTAATCCATGGTGGTTTCAAATATTATGTAAAGGTAAGGAAAAATTTAAGTTTATAAATTGTTAGTTGCTTTTAATTTATGCATATTTCTTAATAGGTGTTTCTTTCTATGAAGCAGTAACTAATTCTTTTCCATTTTTATACGACCGGAAAAAAATTTTGTGGTCGTATATTGGTATGACGTTGGCGTCGTCATCGTCGTCGTCGTCCGAAGACGCATTGGTTTTCGCACTCTAACTTTAGTTTAAGTGAATGGATCTCTAAGAAATTTTACCATAAGGTTCAATACCACAAAAGGAAGGTTGGGATTGATTTTGGGGGTTATGGTACCAACAGTTAAGGAATTAGGGGCCAAAAATAAGCATTTTTGTAACATCAAGACATAACTTGTGTGTTAGTGTATGGACCTCTCTGACATTGTACCAGAAGGTTCCATATCACAAAGGGAATGCTTGGATTGATTTTGGGGGTAATTGCCTGAAAATTTTAGGAATTAGGGGCTAAAAAAGGGGCAAAAAACAAGCATTTTTCTAGTTTCATGACAATAACTTGTGTGTAAGTGTATGGATCTTTCTGAAATTGTACTACAAGGTTCCATATCACAAAGGAAAAGCTGGAATTGAGTTTGGGGGTTATTGCCCGAAACATTTAGGAATAAGGGGCCAAAAAGGGGCCAAAAATAAGCATTTTTCTAGTTTCCAGACAATAACTTGTGTTCAAGTGTATGGATCTCTCTGAAATTGTACTGCAAGGTTCCATATCACGAAGGGAATGTTTGGATTGATTTTGGGGGTAATTGCCTCAAAATTTTAGGAATTAGGGGCCAAAAAAGGGCAAAAAACAAGCATTTTTCTAGTTTCGTGACAATAACTTGTGTGTAAGTCTGTGGATCTTTCTGAAATTGTACTACAAGGTTCCATATCATAAAGGAAAAGCTGGAATTGAGTTAAGGGGTAAATGCCCAAAACATATAGGAATAAGGGGCCAAAAAGGGGCCGAAAATAAGCATTTTTCTAGTTTCCAGACAATAACTTGTGTTCAAGTGTATGGATCTCTCTGAAATTGTACTGCAAGGTTCCATATCCCAAAGGGAATGTTTGGATTGATTTTAGGGGTAATTGCCTCAAAATTTTAGGAGTTAGAGGCCAAAAAAGGGGCATAAAACAAGCATTTTTCTAGTTTCGTGACAATAACTTGTGTGTAAGTCTATGGATCTTTCTGAAATTGTACTACAAGGTTCCATATCACAAAGGGAAAGCTGGAATTGAGTTTGGGGGTAATTGCCCAAAACGTTTAAGAAAAAAGGGGCCAAAAATAAGCATTTTTCTAGTTTCCAGACAATAACTTGTGTTCAAGTGTATGGATCTCTGAAATTATACTGCAAGGTACCATACCACAAAGGGAAGGCTTGGATTGATTTTGGGGGTAATTGCCTCAAAAGTTTAGGAATTAGGGGCCAAAAAGGGGCAAAAAACAAGCATTTTTCTAGTTTATGGACAATAACTTGTGTGTAAGTGAATGGATCTTTATGAAATTGTACTACAAGGTTCCATATCACAAAGGGAAAGCTGGGTTTGAGTTTGGGGGTAATTTCCATAAATGTTATGGAAAATGGGGCCAAAAAGGGGCCAAAAAACAAGCATTTTTCTAGTTTCCAGACAATAACTTGTGTTCAAGTATATGGATCTCTATGAAATTGTACTGCAAGGTACCATACCACAAAGGGAAGGCTGGGATTGAGTTTGGGGGTGATGAATCATAAGGGGGTTCAAAAAATTTGGGGGGGGGGGGGGGTTTCCTTTTTTTTGTTTAAAATTTTCCATTTTAAATTGGTTATTTCTGATTTATATATAAAAGCAAATAATAATGATATGGTTTGAATAGGTAAATTAAACATTTTTAAGTTCTTAGACCACATTCATTCTGTGTCAGAAACCTATGCTGTGTCAAATATTTAATCACAATCCAAATTCAGTGCTGTATCAAGCTTGAATGTTGTGTCCATACTTGCCCCAACTGTTCAGGGTTCGACCTCTGCGGTCGTATCAAGCTGCGCCCAGCGGAGCATTTTATTCCTAATTGTAAAGTTATTGCCAAAAATGTTGATAAGAAATTGTGTGCCAACGACAATCGTTTTTGTAACTCACGCTATATATTCTAAGGCACCTATACTAGTAAATACTTTTGATACTGAAATTATCCTTTAAATCTAAACAACTCTTGAATGTCTGAACTGACCGCAAGGGGAAATGCTCGTATTTTTTTCAGTTGTTGAGTACATTTTCATTTACAGGCGACTGCGAAAATGTAAGCATGTTCATTTACAGGCGACTGCAGTAATACCAAAAAAAGTTACTGTTTTAGCCGTTTATCTCCAATCATTTACAATTTGTTACCGTTAAAAAATAAATTACCTAATGGACGTTAATTAATTTGTAGAAATGTTTAGTCGAGGCTTTCATAATTCTTTCTGCAGATGCCTTCCTCTGTGGTACATCAGCTTTTCTATACTTCTTTCTTAGTATTCTTTTTTGGTGTTGTAATTTTAACATAAAGTTTGTTACTTCTTTCTTGAATTGTCCCTTAGCTTCCATATTATATGAGCTGATTTCAATGGTTTTGATGTTTTTCCTATGTGTTCGTTCCATGACCCATCCTTTGGTGTCACTTTAATTTTTCTTCTTCATTTTACAGCTTTGTGCAAAGTTTTTCTAGATTTTCTTATTTCTTGCTCAATTTCTCCTCTTGAGTTCCGCATAATGTTTGGTAGATGGTTATTTATGTTTTCCCTATTTATTTCATTATTACAATCAGTCCATTTTGTTTTGCTATAAAAACTGTAGCCTTTTCCCTTTAGCCCTTTTAGTTAGCACTTAAAGGTCTGATCTTAAGTATTCTGTTGATCTATACCAAGGACATCAATCTGAAATGTATTGCTCAAAATTCCCCCTTTCTTTTTAAAAATAGATATATAATTTGACTTTTTGACTGGTCATTCTAGTGATAGAAAGTTTATTATATTAGACAATTTTCAGTTTATTACACTTTTTTCTTTACAGAAGGTTTATACTAATCTACCAAGAGGTCGAAACAGTCTGTATGGTGTCCCCACAAACTACAGTGTTGTTTGTATCCTTATATTTCTCTTTCACTTCATCCATTTCATCAGGCTTTAATTTTCTATATCAGTTTGAGGATTCGTTTGTATATTCGTCGTCTTTTGTATTTTCTCATGACTTTGTCTGTTTCTTTTCGACCTATGGAATTGAATGTTCTTATCATCTTCAGCCTATTTTTTCAGGAATAAATTGAAATCAATATCCACCCTGCTTCATGTTGCTATTGCCTATTGGTACACTTTTATATTAAAGAAAATGGTTGTTATGTTGGCCATACGCTGGTAAACCCTGTATTATGTTGATATTGGATATATTGTTGTCAGTCTATTTCCCCCTAAATTATCATGCGCCAATGTAACTTGGATATAATGTGATAAATCTATTGGTGACATATATCGTAGGTCCAGTCTCTCCCAGGCCATCTTTGTTGTGAATATATTGGTGTTGGAATATAATTCTCTTGGTCACTACTTTGTGGTTCTTATGCATACCTAGCATATACCTGGTTGAAATATCGCTCTCTGTTCTTATTGTCTGGTCCTTGCTTAATTCCTAGATCTTTTTTCTAGTTTTATATTAATTGTAAGTTGCTTTTAAATTCATTTGTTCTTTGTTGATATTGTATTCTTAGGTCTTTATTTTCCATTTGTAGCGTGAAACTGATCAACATCATATCTATTTGTTTAAGGTCTTATCATGACGCTTATTTCTACATAACAATTTGTTTTAGATGATTTAAAATTTTCTTTGTTATATATGTTCTCTGCCATCATTCTTAAGGGGTGAATCGTATTTTATCACCTCTAGTCGTATCCTCGTTCATGACTTATATGGCTCTGCAGTGGATTTCCATTTTCCTTACATTTATATTGTCTTTTCTGTTTTAGCTAAAGGTTTTGTTGTTGGCTCATCATTTTCTGGTTGTTCATTCGTACTCTTTGATGCGCTACAGTTTTTCCCCTAAGTTATATATATATTTATGCAAGTACTCTGTCATGTCTAGTCCTTCGTTGAGCCTTGGGTTCGGATCTCCCTCTGACATGATATAATTCTTTCTTTTATCATTATTTCCATTGGTTGGTATGTGTTGCATTATTGAATTTTGAGATCGGACATTGATCAAAGATTATATACCAATATCCGCTTGATTTAATCCAATGATGCTTAAAAGACGTTTCATGTTTTTGTTTGAAGTTTTCAAAAGGTTTTGGTGTTTAAATTCAAAATTCTCTAAGGCAAAGATGTCAGTGTAAGTATCATTCAAATAAATTAACTGTATTAAATGTTTTATGAATGACCTCATTTTGTAAATTAGTTGTAAACAGCTTCCTATGCCTCGCGTGCTGAGAAACAATTAAAAAGAATATCATTAACTATTCCTAATCTTTATCATATGTACACATTTGAACCACCATAAAGTTATTAGTTCCGAACCGACGAAGTCAAAGGGGACTTTAGGTTTGCACTCTGTCCGTCTGTATGTCTGTCTGTCTGTCCATCCGTCAGGCCAGCAAATCAGTTTTCCACACTTTTTTCTTCATGCTTGAAGATATTGATTTGATATTTGATATATGTTTTCATCATGACAAGTTACAGATCAAGTTCGAATTTTGTTCTGGTCTGATGATTTTGTGCAGAGTTATGGTCCTTGGACTTAGAAAATTAGCTAAAATAATCAATTTTTCACATTTGTTTTGGTCATGTTTGAAGATATTGACTTGCTATTTGTTATATAGTTTACACCATGTCAAGTTATAGATAAAGTTAGCATTTAGATCCAGTACAATGAATTTTTAACCGGTAGGGGACTATGTATTGCCAGGCAATACTCACAGAATGCTTGTTTTTAATAACATTGTGTTAGAGACTATTGTTTCATTGAGACACATTTTATTCACAGATGGCTGTTGCTGACGAGTCAGTTATTGAACAAAGAGTTCATAGGTTAAAATTGAAGTTATCCCTTCCAAACTTTAAAGAACAGCATCATGATTTGGTTTTCCATTATAAAATATCTGTCACAAATGCCCACTGATATGTTCAAAATGTTGAATCCACTAGTCCTCTTGTCCTCGAATGTGACATCACCTAATAAAACTTTTCACCGAATGTATACTTGCCATGAGACAACCCCTCATTTTTGTTGGGATTCGTGTTAACCCTAGTTTTCTATGTAGGGTTTTGTGGGCAATTGTTTATCTATTTGTCGTTTTTTCTCGTTTTTTGCCATAGAAATATAGAAAAGAAAGGATATGTGGTATCCATCTATGACACAAATCAGTTTATGCACAACAAAAACACAAAAGGCAAAGGAAAAGCTCTTTTATTGCTGAACTTCATCTCAAAGTCACAGTGAGACCTTATTGTCAGTTTTTTCTCGATCTTTGATTTTTACTGTTCCTTTTATGAAATCTGGTTCTTTTTTATACTAAGTTTAAAGTGCATTTCTGACAAAGAGCAAAGGTCAGTTTGTATTGTAATAAAAGTAGTACTTTTTGAAGTTTTTATAAAAATATGTTGTCTGATACTTTTCGTCGCAGATGAAACGCTTTTTTTTTTAATTAATGCGTACCTAAAATCAAAAAGTCACTGAAAATCCTTTATCCCGAAATACAATTAGACCAATATCCATTTTATACTAGGTACCCCTTAAGCCTTGAAATCTCATGGCTAGCTATATATGAGATCACACAAGCGCATAATATCATTTAGCCAGAGCGTAATTCTTGTAGTTGATTGTACAACAGATATATAAAGTATATTTCCGATTGAACAGCGTATGTAACACTTATTTAAAACTTTTCAATTTTGTCAATGCTGTAGTTGATTGTACAACAGATATATAAAGTATATTTCCGATTGAACAGCGTATGTAACACTTATTTAAAACTTTTCAATTTTGTCAATGCAAAGACAATGTTCATATAGAGCATTTTTTTTTTCACATGGTTAATTCATAGCAAATTGCTTACTATTGAAAATCCTATTTTCGATGAAGTTTTAAAAAAAAGTCGGAAATTGTAATTTTGTTCTTATTTGCCATCCGAAACTAACTGTTTAACTGAAATAATCAAGAAAGAGGTGCACATGTTCATTACATGAAAAAACACCGAAATTTACATTTGCGCTAAAACAAATCTCGTATTTGCACACCAGACCATTTGCGCCAATAAACATTTCATTTGCATCAATAAAAGGGACCTGTGCCATGGTTTTTGTCGAGCCTGCGACTTCTGTCGCAGAAAGCTCGACATAGGGATAGTGATTCGGCGGCGGCGTCGGCGGCGTTAACTAACTTCTTAAAAGCTTTTATATTTTAGAAGGTAGAAGACATGGATGCTACATACTTTGTATATAGATGCCTTATGTTAAGAAGTTTTCGTCTGTCATATGTCCAATATCCTTGACCTCATTTTCATGGTTCAGTGACTACTTGAAAAAAAAGATAAGATTTTGTGTAATGTTAATTTCTCTCTTATTATGAGTAATAGGTTAACTATATTTAGTATGTGCGTACCTTGCAAGATCCTTGTGCCTGTCAGACAGTTCTCATATGACCTCGACCTCATTTCATGGATCAGTGAACAAGGTTAAGTTTTCGTGGTCAAGTCCATATCTGAGATACTATAAGCAATATGTCTACTATATTTGGTGTATGGAATGATTGTGAGGTGTACATGTCCAACTGCAGGTGTCATCTGACCTTGACATCATTTTAATGGTTTAGTGGTCAAAGTTAAGTTTTTGTGTTTTTGTCTTTTTTTCGCATACTGTATGCAATAGGTCAACTATATTTGGTGTATGGAAATATTTTATGAAGTACATGTCAGTCTGGCAGGTTTTATTTGACCTTGACCTAATTTCACAGTTCATTGCATATGTTAAGTTTTTATGTTTTGGTCTGTTCTTCTCAAACTATAAGCAGTAGGTCAACTATATTTGGTGAACGGAATGATTATAAGGTGTATATGTCTGTCTGGCAGGTATCATTGACCTTGACCTCATTTTCATGGTTCAGTGGTCAAAGTTAAGTTTTTGTGTTTTGGTCTTTTTTTCGCATACTGTATGCAATAGATCATCTATATTTTATGTATGGAAATATTTTATGATGTACATGTCAGTCTCGCAGGTTTTAATTGACCTTGACCTCATTTTCACAGTTCATTGCTCAGTGTTAGTTTATGTTTTGGTCTTTTTTTTTTAAAACTATAAGCAGTAGAACAACTATATTTGATGTATTGAATGGTTGTAAGGTGTATATGTCTGTCTTGCAGGTATCATTGACCTTGACCATATTTTCATGGTTCATTGGTCAATGTTAAGTTTTCTTGGCTGTGTTTGTTTTTAAGAAACTATAGGAAATAGGTCAACCTTGTTTGGTGTATGGAATGATTGTAAGGTGTACATGTATTATATCTTTGGTTTATCTGACCTTGACCTCATTTTCTTGGATCATGTTAAGATTATGTGATACTTGAAGTACAGCTTTATATTTAGGACTATCAACATAAAATCAATGGTCAGTAAAGCAGGCGAGACATTTCAGCGTGTGCACTCTTGTTGAATGTATCTTAGGACATTACATAAGATGGTCTAAGGACATGACTTAGTCCTGTGATGTTTTGAATGTGTCTTAAGTAAGCATAAATCCTAAAAATTTATCGTTAAATTTGAACATCAGAATATGTCATAAGAAGGCATCAGGATAACAATAAAATTCAAAAATGGAGTCCTTTTCTAAATAACATTTAACTTAAATAAACAGTCCTGAAACGCTGTACGAAAAGTGTTTTAACAACAGAAAAAAAATTTTTTTCTTTGCCATTAATTCCTGAATTGAAGAGTTGTTCAGTTCTAAATGACTATATATAACAGATAATATTCAACATCAACAGTATATTCACTGTAACTTTCCTTTGTAACTTTCAAGAAGTACGTTGATGAAACTAATCCACATTTTTTGGCAGGGATGATGCAACAGAAGATTGTAATATTTAATTCAAAGACTATACAAAATGAGATTGAGAACAAAACAGTGTATGATCCATACCAACATATATGTTATCTATCAGTTATTTTCTTCAGGTAGTGAAATATTTGACCAAATATTAGCAGTTTTACTTAGTACAAGTATGTTTGTTGGTGGTGTCGTAGGTTTTGTGTTAGACGTAACAATTCCAGGTAATTTAATTTTATTCTATAATCAATACATTTATACAATCATTTTCCTTAATTCTTTACTGACTTGAACCACCTCGGTGGTCTCGTGATAGTGTGTTCGCCTCAAGTGCGGGTGGGCATGGGTTCCAGCCCCGGCCGGGTCAAACCAAAGACTTTGTTATTTGCTGCTTCTTCGTTAAGCACGCGGTATTAAGGCGTAAGAGCAAAGACTTATCGGAATAATGTATGTCCGTATAGTTCATATGTCTTCCTGTGAAATATTATCTTGTTAACTTAAGCACGTTTAGAATCCGGCTCGTTTTGCCTGAGGGAGTTGAAACCTTAGTTTTTTTTTAAATTTCAAAATAACTATAACGGAATATTTAAGAAAGATTTGTTCATTGTCATGTCAGTACTGACTACAGAGCTGATGATTCTTACTGGGTTTGATAGTCCACCATATCTTTATACTTACGTCAAAATGTATTTATGATTAGTAAATATATTTGTTTATTGTATTTGGCTGCTCTATATTGCATTGAAAAGAAAGTGGAAATGAAATATTATTTGGTAAAGAAGGGTAATTGGTTGATGAAATAATCAACATGAAGCCGGTTTTGTCAATCTTGCAAAATTGTATACATGCTATATTAAATAAAGTAATACGAACATAACATAAATGCACCATATGAATATCTAAAGTCTATTTATATGCGCTGATGTTTGAAACCAAATTATTTGGAACCTACAGTACCAATCGCTGAAAAGTATTTAATCCTAAACAACAAAATACAAGACTGCTCCGCAGTAGCGAAGTATTCCCCGTGTTAAAGAAATGAGGAAATAAATTGTGTGTCACAATGTGTTATTATAGTACGATAATCAATGGTAAAAGTCCCAGAACAACCATACAAATCGTCAAATCAAAATAACGGTTTGAGATGATCGATTACACATGATGGCAACTAATGCTGCCAATTATGAGAGCTTTCTGTAAAATTGTTTCAGATGTGTTATGTTCACAAGGTGTATTTGTTACAATACTCCAAGAATAGGCCAAGTTTATAACTCCCATGAAAATGTTCGAAAACAGTATGTACATCAGACGCTCGTTCGTCTAAAAAAGACTCATCAGACGCTCGAATCAAAAACGCTAGAAAACCGAAATAAAGTACAAAGTTGAATAGCATCAAGGACCATTTGTTCATGTTTGTTTAGCAGGGTTATTCTCACTTAGACCTCATCTAAATGGATCTTTGTTGATGTTGAGTTTATGTGATACCTGTAGAAAAATCTTAATCTTAGAGACTCCCAACATAATATTAAATTGTGATCAGTAAAGCAGGCATACGTGCACTCCTGTGTTTGTCCATAGCCTTGTATGGATTGATATAGAGTAAAGGCTTTGCTCCTGTTGAAGGCGATTCTGTGGCCTTTATTCGTTTATATTCTTTCTTTACAGTCTTTTGGTCGTAGCTGTCTTACTCTCAATCAAACCACATCTCTTTATATTTTTTTATACCTTACATCGAGAAATTTTCACAGTAAACAATTAACCGCGAAATTTTCCATACGCGAACATTTTTCTGGTATTTAAATGCTTGGTTTAAGTTCATAACACGGAAATGAACAAATGTTATATTCAACTACCCTATTCAAGGCTAAAATCGCGGACAATATCCGACGCAAAAAAAAAGCGACAAACGTAATCATAAGACAAGACAATTCAATAAAAATACCTGCATTATGTTTATGAGCGATAACAAATTAACCTGGTATCATATATCAATTAATATCGATTTGGAAGTTTTTAATAAATTCTATTTATTTCTTTTCTATTTCTCAGGTTCAGTTGAAGAAAGAGGAATACATAAGATGAGAAGACATGACGTTGATGTAGCCGATGCAAAACGTGACCCAGTATACGATCTTCCTTTTATTCAACCATTTTTGGATAAAATCTCATTTATGAGACACTTACCATTCTGTCCAACATATACACCATTACAATGTAACTGTCGTAAAAATAACTTAAAGGAGGAAAACACTGAAACTCAAACAGACGGCATAGACAATGTCATATGTGAAAAACTTTGATTAAGTTAGTTTTTCTACAGTTAAAAAATTCAAATGATGCTGATGGACAATACTGGAGAGTTTTTAACTGAATATTCGGTTAGGAAATAAAGCTAAATATATAATAAGAACAAAGGTAAAGGAGAGATGTGATATGGACCTAACTTGCCTTTATTTCACTTAATTGTTACTTGGTGAAACATTTGCATGTATGTCTATTCTAAAGTTGAAACGATGCAAATCCAAACTAAATACATAAGCGTAAGTTTCACGATTTTATGAAGTAACTTTTTGGCGTTTTGTGCGATTTTTGCATGATTTTACAAATATATAACGGGAGCGAAAGTCAATTATTTAGTAAAACGTTCATCCATATTAACAACGTCTATTTTAAATATTAACTTGGTTTTTGCTATGGTTAGTAACTCAAACACAAATAATATGTTTTAAAACTATTGATAATTATCCTTATATTAATGCCATTGTTATACCATATTATTCACTGTATAATGAAACCCTTTAAGTTTAGACTTCCCACATACCTACCAATTTTGTTTGAAATATGGGTTTGAGGCACTAGTAAGCGAAATAAGGTTCTAAACTCATCTCTCATTTCGGAACCCGGGCATCAAAGTGTTTATAATGAGCACAACGTATTCAAGATGTATTTATCTTTTATTTTATCTGCATGACAACATATCACTTATAAACTATATCATTAATATTATATTTAGATATATCCCATACATTCTGTATACATATATACTTTAAAATAACATGAAAGGTACAATTTTAAATGCACCGGATGCGCATTTCGACAATTAATGTCTCTTCAGTGATGCTCGATGCCAAAATATATGAATAACTAAAATCTAATACAAATGACATTATGTTGAAGAGCAGATCAAACCAAAAAGGACCTAAAGTAGAGTCAAATCTAGATGAGGAATCAGAGCTTTGCACGAGGGAGATATGTTCCTTAATTAAAAATTATTTCCTAAATCTTGTTTCCAATGTTGCCAGATTACGCATTAGTACATTATTACCATTATGCTGTTTGGTCAACTCATATTACCGTCAGCGTTGGGTTTCGTTTTATAAACGAACCTATAGGAAAAAACGTTCAAGTAGAAAAGATTTTAAAATTACTTAAATAAAATATACATTTGGCAATCAGAATTCTTCTAACGTACTTACTGCAGTTACTTGAAAACTAGATTCCTCAAGCCACTACAACTGATTGTCCATTCACTCCAATGATCCCAGTCCCGGCTCTTTGATCCTCCAATTTGAATTTTTAAGTGTGTTTACCGTCAGACGGTATTTTGCGGTTATATACCATTTGCATATCTCAACCCTTATGCTTAAGCACCGCATCTCTTATACGCATGCAAACGAAGTATATATCTCCCATTTAAAACTATTTTCAAGGGCTTGTATTTCCTATCATGATTTCCTTGATAGAGGGTCTCTACTCACAAGAAAGATCTTAAACCAAGAGTTCCAAATGGTGAAGTTGAAATCATCCCTTCGTAAATTTTACGGACGCCATCACGAGTTGGTTGACCGTTATGGAATATCTATTTCACAGATGCAACGGATATGTTCCAATTGTTGTAACTACAATACCGTCCCCTTTTCCCCGAATGTGACCTATCGAATTATACTTATCACCGGGTTTGAACTTGCATGAGCAACACTACGGCTGCCACGTGTAAACGTTGGTTGTGCCATCGAATAAATTACTTGTGCAAGAAACTTATATTTTCTTTGAATTAAGTGAAAGCTTCAAGTTTGAATAATGTACATGCATTACAGCTTATAACTGAGCTAAAACAACTGAAACCCCGTCTCATTCAAATTCAAATTCAAATTCTATATTTACTTTGAATCTTACGGCTTATCAGTGTAATCATTCAGTAACATCAATCTTATCAAATTAAATATCCGCACTCGCTTATTTCTGTATGTATCATCGCTGCACAGAGGGGAGATTTAATTTCAATTATATTGTCAGTTACACCTGGCTTGAATAAAGTTTCAACGTATTTGTGGCAGTTATTGAGAAGGACTTCATAACTTTTCTCTTCTTGTATTGGTGTAAAATATAAAAATGGTGAAACTATTATTGATCATTTCATAAATTGATATATAAACGGTACTAAACAACTTAAAATCAGCACAATTGGGTATGAAGACAAACCACGAACAATACAATCATATAAAAAGCACAAACTATAGGACTATTTGGTAAATGGTGTTCATTCATATCACAATAATTGTTGTTTTACTTCTCTTCGGATCTTCATGCGTCAACAAACTTGTACCCTCTATTCTTGTTTGCATCTCTCCTTCTTCAACCTCTGCTTCGTGTAGACATCTTCTTGTCGTTTCCAATAACATTTTATACTTGACATCTTCTCTAGCAGTAACAAGCATTTCAACATTGTAGGACACATCAAGCTTTTGTAAATATGGAAGAGATTTCGCAGCAACTTCTACCATTTTTTTCAAAGTGTCAAAGTCATTGATTTTGTTCCGATCCAAAATAATTGTCCGTAGAGATGGACATTTCTCAATCCCATCGATTAAATCGGCTGCACCTTTTGGTCCAATGTTATTTGAGCGTAGCATTAGAGACTGTAGCCTGGGTAATGACGACATTGACTGGCCAATTGCGGTTGCATGCTTGTCTTGCAATTCATTTGCCTGTAAAATTATTTCAGTGAGCTCAGTAAAACCTGACAGTACTTTCGAATTATCTAAGATGCTTGTGTTACCGATGCCACACTGCCACAGACCTAAATATTCGATTGACTTTGCACAGGATTTCAACACGTCTACAAAAACTCCGCTTACTTCATCTGATTCATCAACAGGGACTGCAACGGCTCCTGTTCCTATCTGTCTATGTACTATCCCCACTTCGTTTTTACCGAATTCGAAATGATTCAAATGACTGTTATCTTTGATTAACCTGAAAAACTTTATCGCGCCTTTTTGACTAACATTGTTACAACGAAAATTTATTTTCCTCAACTGTTTGCTTTGTAGGGCATTTGCTAGATCCTCAGTGCCGTCATCCCCTAATCCACAATAACAGACATTGATGATTTCAAGGAAATGCAAACTTTCAACTAACATTGAGAGAATCAATCCACCATTAGGACCAAAATTGTTTTCATGAAATCTCAAAGCTCTGATGCCTGTGTTATTCAGTAGTGACTGACATAATGTTCTAAGCCCTATATCAGTTAGATCATTTTTTGAAACGTCTATGCTTCTCAGGTTCCTCAACTGTGCAAGTTCGGTTTTCAATGCCAACATACCTTCATCTCCTAACTCGCAGTTTCGCATTTCCAACACCTCAAGACTCGTCAGGTTCCTTAAACCCAATTCTTTGTTGTGATCAATCTTTCTTGTAAAAAGCTTATTGTCATTTAGAATCAGCTGAGTGATATTAGTTGACATTAGAGCTTTACATAACTTAAAAGCTTGTAAAACATCAATTCCAGTTTCAGACAGATTCAGTTCATTAACGTCAATCCCATTTATAAATGCATTCTGGAGTGATACAATATCAGCGTCCCTCACTGGAACAGAAGTAAAATCCATCTTTAACGGACCGACCGATTTAGACGTGCTTCTTGGGGAATATTTGCTTGATAACTTCTCCTCAGAATCCTCCTTAGATGGAATGGACCCAGGAATGCCATTGACGTCACGACAGACTGCATGATAGCTGACAACAAACACTTGTCTAAAGTTTTCGTGTGTTAGTGATAACTTTGCTCGAACTCTTGATTTTCTTTCGATTTCTGCTGGATCTATACATATTTCACCTTTTACTTCTCCTGAACCATGCAAGTTGATTCCTTGTGCAATGGCCAAAATGAACGACATGGTAGTGTCTGTATACTCAGGTAAACAGATACGGTTAGCAATGATTTTTTTGTTATTAAACCAGAATATTTGCATACTACCTACATCGCTGGATGGTCTATGCAGAGTAATTGTTGGAAATGTATTGATAACCTTACCCCCTGTATTTTCTGATACGTATCTGGCTGGCTCTGAGTCGGATTCCGGTACTATACTTGCCTTTTCTGGTGCGTACAGTAATGTTCTGAATTTGGTTCCTTCCCTCATGATACGGTTAAGGAGATATACTGTTTCCCTTTCCAGCTCAAAATTAAGACAATCCAAATTTCCTACCGATTCACGACATATATTGTTACATGAAAGCAATTTGTAGTACATGTATTCAAAGATAGCTGAATGTGTTAAATATTCATTTTCAGCAAGGCTTGCTATTTGGTATGGATCAAAATGTGCTCCTGCAATTAGGGGGAACATCTCCATTTTTGACAATTTCAACAATGCAGCATTCTGATTACTTTCAGTAGCAATTTGACTAACATGCTTAACCGCAAGGAAAGTCATCACTAGCGTGCTATTAAATCTAATTCTGTTTGCAATTATCATCAAATAGTTCAAACAAGCTTTCCAATCATTTTGATTGAAGCTTACTTGTTTTTCTCCTATCTGTAGATCTACATTGTCGCCATTGTAATTCAACTGACATTCATTATTGTCAACGCTGGCAAGAAGGTAAGCGAGATAATAAACGTTATGATTTCCTAAATCACGCTTGACCTCGGTTTCTAACTTGTAAATAATTGATTGATAAAAAAGCTGCACCGCCTCAAATGCACCTAACTTGGCTAGTTGTACCAAATACTCGGGTATGGAATCTCGGACAAATGGATCATCGAAGATTTGGAGCATTCTGAAAGATAAAATTCTTTGATATTCTCTCAGCGCAGTGTTTTTGTTGTGTTGTGTTAGAAAAGAACCTCCTGTCCCATGAAGAATGACAGATTCCATGGTATTTCTTGGTACCAATGGTTCTGAAAAAAACCAATACGAAACATAAGCACATCTCGATCATTCAAACGTAAAACCTTATATATGTCTTTAAGGTAGATCGTCATTTTTTTGAATAACAGAAAACAATAGGTCTAGATCTTTAATGTAATGTACAATTTTTTTTAGGAATTCATAGGACTTTAAAAGATATTATGTTAGAAAATTATGCTTTTTATCTTATTTTTACGACTGTTTTTACAAAAACAATATTTTTTGTTTGATTCATTTTTGTTTTCTTCTAAATTCTCCATTTAAGGGAGATACTTCAGATAATGTTACTTCCATACTTTTGTATGTGTTGTGAATTTACCTATTTTGTTTTGTAGCAAGTAAACTAGTCCAATCGGTGCTTTGCTTTTGTGCCAATTGGCTTTCATTTGCGCCAAAAACAACATTTCATTTGCGCCAATATTACATGTAAATACAGGTAAATAAGATAAAAAAAATAGATTTATTCAAAAGAAACTTTTAATAATAATTTTAAAACACAGTTTTTGTTTGCATAATAAAACATATTTATCAGAAATTAGTCATTATAGAACCATAATGAAAGCACTATACACTGATACGTTCGATGAAAACCATTGTTGTGTCGTTCAAAGTTTTTATATTTTTTTGTTGTCCATATCTGTTGTTATTCTGGCTTTGCAAGTTTTTTTGGTACTCCTAAACGACCTGTCCCATTTTTCTGAACATTAGATAACCTATATTTGTGGTAATCCTAAATTACGGACTAATTTTCTCTTTTTTATCCCCGAATTGACAATGTCCATCTTGACACATCAAACATGTGAACACTGTATGATTTTAAACCAAAGTGAATCTCAGTTTTGTATTAGAAATTAGTATGAACTCAATTGATTACCCAGGGGGAATACTATAAAAAAAAATCTTATTCGCGATATAGCGATGAATATTTAAACTTTTCCGTTGTATGTTACCTGTAAAAGGGCGCAAATGTAGTCATTATTTTTTTGGCCCAAATGAAATATAACCTTGTGGCGCAAATGAAAGATTTGATTTTGTAAAAATTGGTGCAAATGCAATGCGCCCAGTCCAATGACCCCAATTTTCCTTTTATTTTCTGAAAGCACATTTTATGACAATTTTGCGCAACCTGTTGCTTGAAAAACAACGTGACCCATATTTTTATTATATTTTCATAAAAGACATGATATAAACTATATTTTGGCTAATTATTCAAATATACTATCGATTTAAAGTTAGACCCCTTCTACCTTAAGGAGCTGAATTCTTTGAAAATGATTAAATCAGTAAATAAAAGATTTAGATATTCAGTGATCATTATATTGAAATCATGAAAAGCTGAAAAATTTAAATCTATATAAAATTTGAAGAAAATTTTCCAAGAAAACAAATCAGTACAAAGGTAAACCTCATGGATAGAGACGGAAGAGGTTGATGTGTACTGTATGATAACTTAATATTATTATTTCAAATCCATTGTGACAGGGTCATAATAGTGCTTTTTCCTCTTAAATAATCAAACTGTTATATTTTTGGCTAATTATCAAAATATTCTATCGATTTTAAGTTGGACCCCTACTACCTTAAGGGACTGAATAAAAATAATTTGTCATACATTTTCAATATAACATGATTTCGAATATCTGCAATTGATTCTTGTTGCTCAACGATGGATACTGAGGTTTAATTAGCATAAGTATAATATAGGACCATGTCGTACTTCGACTTGAGTTGCATTTCTTCGGAAATCATTCCGCATCCTGATAAAATGCACTGGTGACCTCAAATATTCATATTTGCTGCATTAAAACAGTAGAATAGGATACGACTCCTACTATACGTTGTAATCTTACCATTTTTGTGTGTCAGAATATCCCGTGCAAATATGTAGTCACTTTCTCTGATATTAAGTTGAAAGTGAAAGTCTTCATCTGACAGTTCTATGTTGTTACTGTGTGCCTCTATAATCATCTGTTGGCGCCTCTGTGGTGTAAGAATATCTCGTGTTAAAGCCGAAACGAGCCCGCCTGAGTGATATAGACTCCAGAAAGCATCTAATTTCTCTACTGTTTCCATTCTGAACGATATAACAATACATTTGTGGATTATTTTGTCTATTTTTGTGATGATTGTATCTGCGTAATTCATTACCTCGGGTATATCATCTTTAGTTTTCACTGAATCAAACAATTTTTCATACAACTTCCATATCACACGCTCTCGAAGATCTGCATTTGATTCTTGTTGCACATCGATGGGCAGTGATTCAGTTGGCTACAATATAGAAATTAGTGCTTTTTAAAATAATGCAAACAGTGTCTTGTCATTCTTGTATGATTTCCATATCTAAAAATGATTTAATGTGACTGATCCGTCAGAATTTCTTACTTGGTTTACAGAATGCATAATTTCATACAACGATCTATGTTGAATTTCCTCGAAAAATCCAAAGCATTCGGCATCCTGATAGAATGCATCGTGGGCTAATAAATATATCCGCTGCATTAAAACGGTAAATAGGATACAAAAAAAGACTATAAAAATTAAATGACTCCATGAAAGTTACCAAAAATTATTGCGTCAGACTAAATGTTCAGTTCGTTCCAGAGAGGGACACCTAATGGTTACCTTGTTTTATTACATTGGTAGCATTGAATTACATTGATTTCCCAGTCAAATAAAAACCGATAATTTCACATGTGAAATAAACGTGGTTATTTCACTCTCTGACGTCATACAACAATAGGCGTTGTCAAGACGTCGATAACGTCGGATCAAAACAAATTGTGAATGCGTAGAAAAAAGATATAGTTCCTTACATTTTCTACATTAATTTCATTAAAAAAAGCCATTTGCCAATGAAATAAAAAGAATAACTAATCAAAGAATTCAAATATCGAAAAATATTCAACTCGTGACCGAACAACACTGATAATTAACTCATGCGCTACGCGCATTCGTGAATTAATGTGTTGTTCGGTCACTCGTTGAATATTTTTCTCTATTTGAATTCTTCGATTAGTTATTCTATAAATATTTGCAGTACAATTTATAAGTTGTAATTTAAGTGGGTGACAAGGCGTGGAAATATTCGAGTCGCACATGCAGCATTCTTGTCTCAAATTTAGTAATACAAATCTAGACTGATTGTTTTCTGCTTTTTTGCAGTCAAAGATGGTTGAAGAAACCCGATTTACCTTAAAATTTACCTTTTAATTAAAATAGAAAATAAGGATAAAGAGTTATTCCGAAGACGTCCTTGGAGAAAACTGTTACTTAACTTTAAGGAAACTATGCATTTTTATTCCTTTCAGAATTTTGACTGACAGCCGTCTTTAAACATGCAATACTTTTTGGGCAATATTTTTTTAATTATTATTTGAATGTCCAAATGTTACGATGATTGGATGATATTTTTATCTTCCGATTATCTTCCGATACACCTTATCGCTATTTGTTCGCCATTACTGGACATCACAAAAGTTCCCGTAAAATTTTGACGTCATAATAGAAAATATCTGACGCCACAATGGAAAAGTGATTGTTGTATGACGTCAAAAGTTCAAGCGGGACAGATTCTGGGGTCAAGCGGGACAGATTTCCAAATAGCGATAAGGTGTATTATCTTTCAGCATAGTAATTATAATAACTAAATCCAAATTTCAATATATCAACCACCTTAACTTGACAAGTAATATTTGTCACAAAGTAATACAAAACCTATTTTTTTTATTATGCTAAAACAAATCGCTACCAAACGTTGGTTGAATTGTAGAAAAACAAAGGATATCCATCCATGACACAAAACCAGTACATGCACAGCAAAAAAAACACTTAAACAGCACTGGAGCAGCGCTTTAATTACTGGTCTTCATCTCAGAGTCACAGTGCGGCCTTCAACATGGATCAAAAGAAACTCTCACCTCACTGCAAGTATAATACGACCCTAGCACCGGTTTGAGCGAAATTATTGGCGAACTGAAATAATTCGGGTAGACTTTGTAAGATGTAACACCACCAAATCGGTCCCGGTCAAAAAGAACATACTGGAAAGTAGTACACATTTAAAACAAAATAGTTCCTACGCATAGAGTGTGAATATCAAAGTATGTAGAACATATTTTGGTAATTCAGGTATCAAATGAAAGGTGTAGGACAGGTGATCCTTGTAGAACACCTTTTTTACTGATGATTTCGAATAATATAAAAATGTATGATTTAATTTAAAAAGGAGGGCATATATTAACTGTTTTCCGGATATGAAGTACCTGATTTGGTATATCCAAAATTCCGGTAACCAGTATGCTGTGTAAATAACGGTATATAGACCGCGCACCAAATAAATGCTTGAATTTGAAAAATGTAACATAGAAAGAGATGATTACCACGAATAGATGGAGAGCGTCTTATTTAAATTTTAGTACACAAACTGGCCTAAAATTGAATAAATGTGCATTTATGATAGAAGTATGTTTGTCTAGTATTTTAATGACTCTACCGTTCAAAACTTTGTACCTCCATATTTTGATAACATAGAGCCACCTATAGTTTCTTATGATATGATTCTAATTACAGTGGACCTACATCGTTCAAGACCGAAAGGTTATAAACTTTCTGAAAAAAGGACCTAAATATCGTTCACCGTCGAAAATAAATTGGAAAGAGTGTCGTCAGGTCATTTAAGATGCTCTTTCATCCTATTGTAAAAATTGGTGTAAACGGGTGAAATCTGACAAAAGTATCCTGATTCTTATTTAAATAAATGTCTGAATATTGTTGATATTCGCATATCACATTTCGAAAAAAAATAGAAATAGATAAAAAGTATTACGCCCATTTCTAGGATTAAAAACAGAATTCAAGTACTCGCAAAGCATTTTGTGTTCTTACCGGCCGACAAAGCAGCCAACAATGTGGTGGTGGTATCACGTAAATATCAATACACATACCGCAGAAATTTTACCCAAAAGGAACTTACTTTAAATAAATCAATTATTAACAGCAATAACTGTCTTTTCCTAGATTTAGATATTTCAGTGTTACACGAGAAACTCTACAAAAATAATTACGATAAAAGGGGCGATTTTTCTTTCCCTATTGTAAATTTTCCTTTTTTGGACGGTGATGTTCCTTTGGCACCGTCTTACGGTGTTGATCCCAACGCATTCGCTATGCCTGTGTTTGTAGTGACGTTTTGGATTTCAATGATCGTAATCTATGTATTACTGGTTAATTATTAATTCAGGGATTTTTTTATCACAAATTACATGAATCCTTTACGAAATTCTTCGATAGATACAAAGATTTGGTTTAAAAGTTTGGCTGTACCTTATTTCAAACGGAAAAGCGCATCCTAATTTTTATGGTGATGTTGTTTACCGATCCCGGAAATTTAGATCTTGGTAAACTTATCAATCCTTTAAATAAACTTATTCTAAAAGGTTTCTAATTCAACACTGTAATTAAATCTTTGAATATCAAAATTTATTGGTATAAATTTTGATTTTGTTATCAGTAAATTAAAACACAATGTGTAAAAAGTAAACACGGAGCCTTGGCTCACACCGAACAGCAAGCTATAAAGGGCCCCAAAATGACTAGTGTAAAACAATCCAAACAGGAAAACCAACGGTCTAATCTATATAGATAAAACGAGAAACGAAAACGAAAAACACTTATGAACCACACCAACAAACGACAACCACTGAACAACAGGCTCCTGACTTAGGACAGTTGTATACAAATACAGCGGGTTTAAACATTTTAGCAGGCGCCAACCTTCACCCTAACCTGAAACAGTAGTGTAACATTACAACATAAAAAGACACACTATAAAAAATCAATTGAAATGGCTTAACGCGATCAAAAAGACATATAAACAAAAAACAAATAAACATACACTGAACGAATAAGTTGGATCTATGACACAATATAAATACAATATTGATATAAAAAAAAGATGAAGAACAATGTAAAAAAAAAATAACTTTAACATGGGTCAAAATGGCGTTAAATAAAGTAACGTACACAGGTAAATTTAAATATAATAATTTTGTTTTTAGGAGTACGGAACATTTCTTACAAAATGAATAATTTTTTTGTTCACAGTACGAGTACAGAAGTGAAAATTTATCGTCATACTAAATACTTATCAAAGGTGGTACATATTAAAAATAGTGACACAGGATATAACACAAAATAAGTAAACATTGAATAACGGAAATGCATTACAAATTGTGTCAACAGGTCAAATTAACACGAAAGTACGATTTGAGAGTACTCGCAGTTACTGAAAGCTAGTTAAAAGCCAAAAACAATTAATAAAAAAAATCATGCATCAGAGACTAAAATTAATTAAAACATCCCAGGAATTAGTGTTTTAACGCTATGACAGTCAAAGAAGACATGACTTGTGCAATGCCAAAATAAAAGTATCGACAGGCAGTAGGATAATTAGGATTTAACCTTATAATAAATATGTATCATGTTATATACTAGTATAGATAAAGCAATCTCTAGAAAATAAACGTTGATGTGTAATTATACATCCCCAAAAAACATTCGAAAATAATACAAATTTAAATATGTTTTAATTTGTTGATGACAAAATCGATGTTAGTGCCAATGTAAATAATGTTCAAAGATCTTATTACAAAATTAATAAGATAACCTCTACTAATAAGTGTGTTTAAAGGTTCGATGAGTTTAAACGGGGCACATAGTGATTTCCGCGCTTTTAGTACAATATTACCGTATAATTTAGGGTGTGAAATACCGTTTTTAATAAGTTTTCTACAGGTACCGCCAAATTTACTTTTCTACAGGTACAGCCAAATTTACTAATCAAATCTTTGTATCTATGAAAGAATTTAGTAAATGTTTTTTAGTAATTTATGGTAACGAAATCCCTGACTTAATAATTTACCAGTGATACATTAATTACGTTCGTTAAAATCTATGACATCAATACACACACGGGCATGACGAACGAGCTGGGATATATAAACAGCGTATGATGGAGCCAAAAGAACATCGCCGTCTAAAAAAGGACACTTAACAATAGGGAATGAAAAATCGTCTCTTTTGTCGTAAGTTTTAGTATGGAGTTTCCCTTTAGAAATTGAAATGTCTAAATCTAGAAAAGGACAACCACTGCTGTTTATGTTAGATTTATTTAAAGTAAGTTCCTTTGGGTAAATTTCGGTAGTATATTTAGAGAACTCTGGATTATTTAACGAAAACATATCATCAAGATAACGGTAGGTATTGTTGAATGTATCAACCAAATGTAACAATGATGTTTCTTTACTGAGTTTGGCCATAAACTGTGTTTCATAGCAATACAGGAATAAATCTGCTATCAAAGGGGCGCAATAAGTGCCCATGCACTTTAACGGTACTACAATCTGTCGATACCTATATTTTGGCATTGCACAACGCCTTAGTTCATGTTTTTATACCCCACGCAACGAGTTTTTGACCCGTCCGTCCGTCCGTCCGTCTGTCCGTCCGTCAGTCCGTCAGTCCTGTTTCTTGTCATCGCAACTACTCTCAAACCACACAACAGAATTTCACGAAACTTTTTAGATAATAAGGACATACTATGTAGTTGTGCATATCGACAGGAAATTATGATTCAATTTTTTTCTAGGAGTTACGCCCCTTTGAACTTATTTACTTTAATGTACTACTGCAACAGTTTGTCATCTCAACTGCTCTGAAACCACACAATAAAATTTCATGAAACTTTGTAGATAATAAGGACATACTACGTAGATGTGCATATCGACAGGAAATTACGATTCAATTTTTTTTCTAGGAGTTACGCCCCTTTGAACTTATTTGCCCAATATACTACTGCAACCTTTTGTCATCGCAACTCCTCTCAAACCACACAACAGAATTTCATGAAACCTTTTCAGATAATAAGGACATACTACGTAGATGTGCATTTCGACAGGAAATTACGATTCAAATTTTTTTCCAGGAGTTCAGCCCCTTTGAACTTATTTGCTTCAATATACCTCTGCAACAGTTTGTCATCGCAACTCCTCTGAAACCACACAACAGAATTTCATGAAACTTTGTAGATAATAAGGACATACTAGGTAGATGTGCATATTGACAGGAAATTATGAATCAATTTTTTTTCTAGGAGTTACGCCCCTTTGAACTTATTTGTTTCAATATACCTCTGCAACAGTTTTTCATCGCAACTCTTCTGAAACCACACAACAGAATTTCATGAAACTTTGTAGATAATAAGGACATACTATGTAGATGTGCATATCGACAGGAAATTATGATTCAATTTTTTTTTCTTATACAATTTTTTTTTCCTTACAGTTATTTTATTTCTCCAGTGACAATGTGTGGACGTGGGGGTATGTGAGCGCGCTCACTAAGGTTCTTTAATTCTCTGACTGTTAATGACGTCTTTAGACCAAATCCATTGGATGTTGGATATGTACTGATTCATATTTTAGTCTTAGTTACATGATTTTTTTATTAGTTGTTATTGGCTTTGGACTAGCTGTCAGTAACTGCGACTGTACTGAGTGTCTTTTCTGTTGTTAGGGATGTATAAATACCCTGTCACGTCCGGTCTGTGTCTTTGTTAGATGTTTTTCTGCTTTGTATCGATCTGATGAGTTAAGCCTTTTTCAGCTGATTTTTATAGTTTGTTATACCACTGTCCCAGGTTAGGGGGAGGGTTAATCGCTCTCAAACATGTTTAACCCCGCCACATTCTTTATGTGCCTGTCCCAAGTCAGGAGCCTGTAATTCAGTGGTTGTCTTTGGTTCATGTCTGTCATATTTGTTTTTTCGCAAATTGTTCTGTTATGAATTAGGCCGTTAGTTTTCTCAATTGAATGGTTTCACATTTTTCATGTCGGGGCCTTTTATAGCCGACTATATGGTATGGCTTTTTCACATTGTTGAAGACCGTACGGTTGCCTATTATAATTACCAATATCCAGTTCATTTGAAGTTTGTTAAATAGTTGTCTTATTGGCAATCATACCACATTTCCTTATTTTCATATTAGTGATTATATCCAATATCAAATATTTTCAATGATTTTGTATGAATTAAAAATCTCGAAAATCACAAACATATCTTAGTATCAAGAATTCATATTTCCTCTTTTTTATTTTGTATCATAATGAAGTTATCTTTAAGCAATAAAGAAGCAGTCAACGTTCCAATACCACAGCTGGTTTTGTGACAGTGATGAATATTCAATATTTTATGCCAATATTTGACTTATAACTTGATTTAAAAAAGATATGTTTTTCAAACCTTTTCAGCCATATTAGTAAACTTCCTGGAAATAAGATGAAAAATAATAAGAGAAAACGGTATGATATTTCAATAGATAATATGGCAATTTCATGAGGTTTCCAATCTCTGGTATTATATGCCTCTGCTCCAACCACCTTCAAACATGGTCGCTAGTTGTACTTTAATAGTATTTATTAGGTACCTATTGCTACCACGACGTGGTTAAATGATACAGTTGTATTCCTCCTTTCATTCAAGTCAGCTGAAAGACATTTCCTCAATAGCCAAAAGTAATTCTTAAATCTAATCGATGCATTTCGAAGTATCGATTTGAAACCTTACAGTCCTGTTAAGCAATCAAAACCAGAAATTTTGTAGTTAAGATATCCTTAATTTTCTTGGTTTTCTTGGCATGCTTTTTCTAGGTTTAAAAATTTTGGCTCAAGATAGCCCTGTTATACCATTTTAGACACTTTTCTCTAAATAAATGCAACAAAAGTGTTTGTCCCCGGGGAAAAGTGATATATTTTACAAAGAACGTTGATGAGCTGGTAGAGACCAATACAAATGTAAAAGATACTACATTTGTAAGTAACTTACCTCCTCTGTTGATGGTGATTTGACAGGAGTTTGTTCTTCTTTTTCTCCACATCCATGTCCATCTATGCACTCTCCTATTGCACCAACTGTGACATTCAATTGACCTGCAATTTATTATATCTATACATTTCTATAATTAGATATCTTTCAGATAGAGACCACTATCTTGAAGGCCCTGATTTTGGATCTCCTTTTGTGTTAATCTCTCCTTAAAACAAAAAACAGACTTTATAAATAGGTGAGTCTGAAGCGCTTTTCTTGATTTACTTTCATCAGTAACGCTCAAACACCAAATTTTGAAAGCAAAGGATTTATATAACCCTGAATACGTGAGGAACTTTATGACCAAAAGGACATAAAAAGAATGGTAAAATCAATCTAAGCTCAAATATTTGAAAGGCTATTTTTTGCGTTGACGCCTTCCTACGACGTCATAACGCCGATGCCATTTTTTCGGCTGCACTATTTTAGAGATTATTTTTCGCTCAACTTTGAGACCATAATTAGGCATGAAATCTTCACTGACGGCCAGAATTATTTACATCTATGCAAATTCTTAGCTTTTGTGTGCTTGTAGGTGCAAACATTTCTCAGAAATATCCAAAAGTAATGATGAAATAAACTACAATTCCATCCTAGATGACGATGACCTTCTGGCCGTGAAGATTTTATGACAACATTGGGTCTCCTTTAAAAGGAAAAATGATGGCTTCGACTTTATGGCGTCGTAGGATGGCGTCACAGCAACAAATTAAAACAGCCTTTCAAGACGTCATAATTATTTGGACTAATTCTATTACTAACGGAATTGTGGTAGGAATATATCAATTGCCCAATCAGTAATGGTTAATTCAAAACAAGAGGCTGTAGAGTGACAGCAAACCGGATTTTCCTGCAGAGGTCGAACCCTGAACATTTGAGCAAGTATGGACACAACATTTCAGCTTAAAACAGCTCTGAATTTGGATTGTGATTGAATATTTAAAATAGATTAATATCCAATTAATAATGAAAATGATATTTGCAAATCTGAACCCCAAACAGGATCATGTAAAAATTAAACATTAACACACACGACAAAAATAAAATACCACATAAAAACTGTGACATCTACCTTCATAACACACATGCCTTAAAAAAATAGTTAAAAAAAAATTTTGATGTTATCATGTGTTCATGGAATAAGTTTGAGTTATTTCCCTTTGAACAGAAATATGGTTTAACATAGTACTCTAACATTAGATATGATTAATAGTTCTCTAAAATTAGATATGATGTAACACAATGTATATCTATTTTCAAATTATATTCAAATATAATTAATAGTTCCAAATATTTAAGTCTCCCAAACGAAGTTTGGGAAGACTTATTGTTTTTGCTCAGTTCTTATTATTATTATTATTCTTCTTCTTCTTCTTCTTCTTCTTCTTCTTCTTCTTCTTCTTCCGCCGCTTTTAAATTTGAACTTGTCCGCACCCGTTCTCCAAAACCGCTTGTCGGATTAACTTAGGGTTTCACAATATGTTAGACTAACATGTCTAGTGGTGCAATCAGGGTTTTGTTTTTGCAATGGGGTTTATAAAGGGGTACTTTGAGGGGCAAAAAGAAAAGAGGGTTTTACTATAGAACCCTATGGGATTTTATTTTTTTAAATTTTCAAATGATTATAAATTGAAAACCGTTCGTGATAGACACAAACTTTTTAATTGAAAATGTTCTAAATGATAAAGCCCATTAAATGAAATACAGGGTTAGTCCCCAGGGGTCACCCCCACCCCCTGCCATTTAAGAAAGTTCTTATACCTTGTAAGTGGTCAAGATCCCCACCCCTAAACCATATATATTCTGGTTTGTCATGCTAAGATGGTTTGAATGATATACAGGGTTAGTCTCCAGGGGTCATCCCCACCCCCTGTCATTTGAGAAAGTTCTAATATCTTGTAAATTGTCGAGATCCCCACCCCTAAACCATATATATTCTGGTTTGTCATGATAAAGCACATCAAATGAAATACAGGGTTAGTCCCCAGGGGTTACCCCCACCCCCTGCCATTTAAGAAAGTTCTAATATCTTGAAAGTGGTCAAGATCCCCACCCCTAAACCATATATATTCTGGTTTGTCATGCTAAGATGGTTTGAATGACATACAGGGTTAGTCCCCAGGGGTCATCCCGACCCCCTGCCATTTTAGAAAGTTCTAATATCTTGTAAATGGTCGAGATCCCCACCCCTAAACCATATATATTCTGGTTTGTCATGATAAAGCACATCAAATGTTATACAGGGAAAGTCCCCAGGGGTCAGCCCCACCCCCTGCCATTTAAGAAAGTTCTAATATCTTCTAAGTGGTCAAGATCCCCACCCCTAAACCATATATATTCTGGTTTGTCATGCTGAGATGGTTTGAATGATATACAGGGTAAGTCCCCAGGGGTCAACCCGACCCCCTGCCATTTGAGAAAGTTCTAATATCTTGTAAATGGTCGAGATCTCCACCCCTAAACCATATATATTCTGGTTTGTCATGATAAAGCACATCAAATGTTATACAGGTTAAGTCCCCAGGGGTCACCCCCACCCCCTGCCATTTAAGAAAGTTCTAATATTTTCTAAGTGGTCAAGATCCCCACCCCTAAACCATATATATTCTGGTTTGTCATGCTGAGATGGTTTGAATGATATACAGGGTAAGTCCCCAGGGGTCATCCCGACCCCCTGCCATTTGAGAAAGTTCTCATATCTTGTAAATGGTCGAGATCCCCACCCCTAAACCATATATATTCTGGTTTGTCATGATAAAGCACATCAAATGTTATACAGGGTTAGTCCCCAGCGGTCACCCCCACCCCTTGCCATTTGAGAAAGTTCTAATATCTTGTAAATGGTCGAGATCTCCACCCCTAAACCATATATATTCTGGTTTGTCATGATAAAGCACATCAAATGAAATACAGGGTTAGTCTCCAGGGGTCACCCCCACCCCCTGCCATTTAAGAAAGTTCTAATATCTTCTAAGTGGTCAAGATCCCCACCCCTAAACCATATATATTCTGGTTTGTCATGCGAAGATGGTTTGAATGATAGACAGGGTTAGTCCCCAGGGGTCATCCCGACCCCCTGCCATTTGAGAAAGTTCTAATATCTTGTAAATGGTTGAGATCCCCACCCCTAAACCATATATATTCCTATTTGTCATGTCTCGAACATTTGAATGACGTATAGGGCCAGTCCCCAGGGGTTCCTCCCCACCCCCAATATTCTAGTATCTTGTAAATGGTTGAGATCCCCACCCCTAAACCATATATATTCCTGTTCGTCATGTAATGAACATTTGAATGACGTATAGGGCCAGTCCCCAGGGGTTCTTCCCCACCCCCAATATTCTAGTATCTTGTAAATGGTTGAGATCCCCACCCCTAAACCATATATATTCTGGTTTGTCATGCCAAGATGATTTGAATGATATACAAGGTTAGTCCCCAGGCATCACTAATGCATATAACTTTACTGGACCAAACCAATTTTCAATGGACGTTGCCCAATGTCAGGCGACCCTGGGAATAACTTATGGGAGCTTCGTTTGGGAGACTTCGTAACAGCATCCTGTTACAATCATTTCTTGTTTTTCTTTCATTTGTCACAAACTAATACAGATCTGCAACTTATCTATCAATGTCAACAACTTTAAATGTAATGAAATATATCCTATAATAACTAGAGGCTCTCAAGAGCCTGTGTCGCTCACCTGTATTTACTGATGCTTTGGAAATCATGTAAATAAAGGTTAAAATCATAATTAATAGTATTAGATATTAGATATTATAATGATATCTAAGATAAAAAAAAAAAACTGCAAAATTTTTGTAAAATTACTAACTCATGGGCAGCAACCCAACAACGGGTTGTCGGATTCGTTTGAAAATTTTAGGGCAGATAAATCTATATCTGATGAACATTTTTGCCACCAGTCAGATTTGCTCTAAATGCTTTAGTTTCAGAGATATAAACCAAAAACTGCATTTTACCCCTATGTTCTATGTTTAACCAAGTCGGCCATGATGGTTGGAAGGCGGGGTCATCGGACAAATTTTTGAAACTAGATACCCTAATAATGATTATGGACAAGTATGGTTAAATTTGTCTCAGTAGTTTCAGAGAAGAAGATTTTTGTAAAAGATTACAAAAATTTACAAAAAATTGTTAAAAATTGACTATTAAGGGCAATAACTCCTAAAGGGGTCAACTGACAATTTTGGTCATGACAACTTATTTGTAGATCTTTCTTTGCTGAACATAATTGCTGTTTACAGTTTATCTCTATCTATAATAATATTCAAGATAATAACCAAAAACTGCAAAATTTCCTTAAAATTACCAATTCAGGGGCAGCAACCGAACAACAGGTCGTCAGATTTGTCTGAAAATTTCAGGGCAGATAGATCTTGACCTGATAATCATTTTATCCTACGTCAGATTTACTCTAAATGCTTTGGTTTCAGAGATATAAGCCAAAATCTACATTTTACCCCTATGTTCTATTTTTAGCCATGGCGGCTATCTTGGTTGGTTGGCGGGGTCATCAGACACATTTTTTAAACTAGATACCCTAATAATGATTGTGGCCAAGTTTGGTTAAATTTGGCCCAGTGGTTTCAGAGGAGAAGATTTTTGTAAAAAGCTAACGACGATGGACGACGACGACGACGACGACAACGGACGACGGACGCCAAGTGATGAGAAAAGCTCACTTGGCCCTTCGGGCCAGGTGAGCTAAAAATAGATTATTATTTAATTAAAGGAGTTCACTTCATAAAAAAAATATATATATATATATAGCATTCAGAAAATTAGTTAATACAGAATAACAAACAAACCTACCTCAAAATTGTTCAAACAATTTACCAAAAAAAGGAAAAAAAACCAAAATGTCATTTATCATTAATACAATGTCTTTTAAAAATCTTTAAAAAAATGAGTTATTTCCCTTTGAACAGAAATTGATTAATTCATCAAAAACTGAATTCTTGGGAAAGGGCTATAACTGAACAACGAGAAAAGCTAAAATCGTGAAAATTGAACTTGACCTTTATTAAGTCACAAGAAACAACATATCTAAATTTGAAAAAAAATTCTTTAAAGCATATTCATGTAAATGAACGGACACTGTTTGGCAGCCGCCCGCCCGCCCGACGTACATCCCTAAATCAATAACCAATTTTTACTTCGAAAATTCGGTTAAAAATGCTTCCTAAATAAAAATAGGTTGATATTTGTATACTTCATTTTACTTTTGTTTACAGGAAAAATTAAATCATTATAAATATACATGTAGGTCATTGCATGGCCTATAAATTATAATGATAAGTATGGTACGATTTAGTGAGAACAAAACAAAGATCTCATCTAACTACTTTTGTGGGATTTCAGTACTGTCCATAAGCTTTTTTTCTAAGTTCGTCAACTAATCAACGAAACCTTGATGGCCAAATGGTCAAATAGAATTGATGTGAAACCAAACGACACGTACAGACATTAGCTTCGTGCTACTAATAGCTTATTAAGTACCTAAAAAACACAGATTTGAATAAACAAAGGGACAAAGATTTGAGTTGCATGAGCTTACAGCACACAGATTTGAGGAAAGGGCATATTTTGAGGCTGGACATAATTACATATATACTGCTTTAAAAAAAATATATAGTTACACCACTGTCCCAGGTTAGGGGAGGGTAAGGCGCAAGCAAACTAGTTTAACCCCGCCACATTCTGTATGTGCTTTTCCCAAGTCAGGAGCCTGTAATTCAGTGGTTGTCGTTTGTTGCTGTATATCATATTTGTTTTTCTTTCATTGTTTTGTACATAAATCATAATGTTTTACATTTGTTATTTCGATGCCGTTTGTAGCTGACTATGCGGTATGGGTTTTGCTCATTCTTGAAGGCCGTACGGTGACCTATAGTTGTTAACTTCTATGTCATTTTGTCTCTGGTGGAGACAGTTGTCTCGTTGGCAATCATACAAATCTTCTTATTTTTATATATACTAGAACACCCCCACCCCCCCCCCCCCCCCCCCGACATTGTGGGTCCGTGACTGAATCAAAGTACCTACTACGCCTCATATTTAGCCTGGATTTTTAGTATTTGCATTGTCATCTGATAAAGTCATGCTGATTATAAGGTGCACAGTTTTCTCTGCTTTCAAAATCCCGTTCTGATTTTTTTTTAATACAATCGGAAACTACATGTGACTGAATTTAGTAATGCCAATCCCTGTATAATGACGAAGTTCAGGTGTGATTATGACCCGTGTATATAGCAAATCCCGAATACACCGTTTGGGGGTGCGCCTGACAGAGGCGGAACGTACAGATTAGGTAACAGGTAACAGGTGACATATACTATTGCTATCGGTATATAGCTTTTCTCAAAAAAGTAGCCGTCTCATAGCTGATGAAATTTGAAGATGTTTTTCCATGCACAATAGCATTGTATAGTGAATTACAAACAAGAGGCTGTCAGAGTGACAGCAAACCGGATTTTCCTGCAGAGGTCGAACCCTGAACAGTTGAGCAAGTATTGACACTACATTTTAGCTTAAAACAACTCTGAATTTGGATTGTGATTGAATATTTGACACAGCATAGGTTTGTGACACAAAATGAATGAGGTCAAAGAACTGAAATATTTGAAATTGGACATTTAAATACCTATTATGGTCCAATATCCAAAATCTAAGTACATATTAGAATCAGCATATCAAAGAACCCCAAGAATTCAATTTTTGATGAAACCAGACAAAAGTTTAATTTAGGACCCTTTGGACCTCAATGTGGACCAATTTGATAAAGGAGCCCACAATCCAAAATCTCTCAATTCATGGTTAGATTCAGCATTTCAAAGAACCCCATAAATTCAATTTTTGTTGAATCAAACAAAGTTTAATTTTGGACCCAGATTTGGACCAACTTGAAAACTGGGCCCAAAAATCTAATATTTAAATACAGGTTTAGATTCAGCATTTGAAAGAATCCTATATATATTTAATTTATGTTGAAATGAAACACAGGTTAATTTTATCCATAATATTTTCTGTGCAAAGGGAAATAACTCAAACTGGATAAATAGTTCTCTAAAATAAGATATGATGCAATTTTTCAAATTATAATCAATAATATAATTACATCAACCAGTTTAATTCTCTAAAATTAGATATGATTTAACACTCAAACATTGTTAGAATCAGCATATCAAAGAACCAAAGAATTCAATTTTTGATGAAATTAAATAAAAGTTTAATTTAGGACCCTTTGGACCTCAATGTGGTATTATCTTATTAATAACGAAAAGAAATACAGGTTTAGATTAAGTATTTCAAAGAACCTTATATATATTCAATTTATGTTGAAATCAAACACAGTTTAATTTTTGACCCCGATTTGGACCAACTTGTAACTGGGCCCAAAATCAGAAATCTAAATATATGTTTATCAATAGACAATATAAACTTAGTTTTTAAAGGAGTTCACGTCATCAAAAATAAATATATAGCATTCAGAAAATTAGTTTTTACAGAATAACAAACAAACTTGCCACAAAATTCTTCAAACAATTTACCAAAGAAAAGAAGAAAAAAATTCAAAATTTTATTTATCATTAATACAATGTCTTTTCAAATCTATACAACTTATCAGTAACAAGAAATAATTGTAACAGGATGCTGTTACAAAGTCTCCCAAACAAAGCTCCGATAATTCGTCATTCCCATGGTCGCCTGACACTGGGAAAAGTCCAGTACAAATTGGTTTGTGATATGCAAAAGTGACACCTATGGACTGACCCTGTATGTCATTCAAATCTTCTTGAAAATACGAACAGGAATATATATGGTTTAGGGGTGGAGATCTCGAACGTTTACAAGTTCTCAAAAGGCGGGAGGGGTGTGATCCCCAGCGGACTCGCCCTTTATTTCATATGATTTGTTTTTTTGTCCCATACAAGAATATATATGTTTTAGGGGTGGGGATCTCAATCGTTTACAAGTTCTCAAACAGGAGGGGGTGGGGTGACCCCAGGTGACTCGCCTTATATTTCATTTGATTTGTTTTATTGTCCCATACAAGAATATATATGGTTTCGGGGTGGGGATCTTGACCTTTAACAAGTTTTCAAAAAGAAGGGGGGTGGGGTTACCCCAGGGGACTTCCCCTCAATTTCATTTGATTTGTTTTATTGTTCCATTCAAGAATATATATGGTTTCGGGGTGGAGATCTTGACCACTTGCAAGTTTTCAAAGAGAAGGGGGTGGGGGTTCTCCCAGGGGACTTCCCCTCAATTTCATTTGATTTGTTTTATTGTCCCATACAAGAATATATATGGTTTCAGGGTGGGGACCTTGACCGTTTACAAGTTTTCAAAAAGAAGGGGGAAGGGGGTTACCCCCATGGCCTCCCCTATATTTCATTTGATTTGTTTTATTGTCCCATACAAGAATATATTTGGTTTAGGGGTAGGGATCTCGACCGTTTACAAGTTCTCAAACAGGAGGGGGTTGGGGTGACCCCAGGGGACTTGCCTTCTAATTCATTTGATTTGTTTTATTGTCCCATACAAGAATATATATGGTTTCGGGGTGGGGATCTTGACCGTTTACAAAAAGAAGGGGGGTGGGGGTGAACCCGGGGACTCCCCCAATATTTCATTTGATTTTTTTTCTTGTCCCATACAAAAATATATATGGTTTTGGGGTGGGGATCTCGACCGTTTACAAGATAAAAGCACATTCTCAAATTGAAGGGGGATGGGGTAAGAATATATATGGTTTAGGGAGACTTAATTATCTACAAAATGTCTAATAATGAAGAGTAAATTTCAAACTTCATTTATACAGTCCTACTAGTAAATTTCAAACTTTATATATACAGTCCTACAGATCTTATCAGGAAACAGAAAATTTTCAAATAAATCTGTCACTCCAATGATTATCATATGCTAAGATATAACCCAGATCTAATTAATAATTAATAATGTAATTAACTTCAAAATGTCTAATAATATAGCTAATAATCATCACCACTGAGGAAATAGAAATTTTTCAAATAAATCTGTCACTCCAATCTTTATTGTGAGATAAGACATTATGCTTAGTCATAATATGATAACAAGAGAGAAAAATATTTAAAAATACCAATTTTGGATATTAAAAATGGCGATAACTCAAAAAGGAGAAATACTAAAATCTTGAAAATTGAACTAGACCTTTATTAAATCCCAGGAAACAACATATTTAAATTTGAAAAAAAAAATTGTTAAAGCGTTTTCATGTTATTGTGGAGACACTGTTTGGCAGCCGCCCGTCCGCCCGCCGTACATCCCCAATTTAATAACCGATATTTCCTTCGAAAATCCGGTTAAAAAATAAACAGCAAATACTAATTTTGATATTTTCCTATTTCTATTTTGTATGGAATATATGCACATGTCTTTAATTTTTATACTCCCGTTTACGGGACGTATTATGGTATACCGCTGTCCGTCCATTCGTCTGTCCGTCCGTCCGTCTGTCGTCAACATGTCGGACAAAAACTCAAAAATCTTTCACCAATTTGCATCAAACTTTAGTGAATTGTTTATATCTATTGACGTGAGCTCCCTTTCGATTTTCATAAATTTTGGATTTTGCGTTTCCGAGTTATGGGTTTTTATTCATTAAAAAAGGGTGATTTTCCAGTTTTCGGACAATAACTCAAAAATGCTTTGAACAGTTTTCATGAAACTTTGGTGAATTGTTTATATTTATTGGCGTGAGCTACCTTTCGATTTTTATAAATTTTGGATTTTACCTTTCCAAGTTATGGGGTTTTATTCATTAATAAAATGCTCCGCTGGGCGCAGCTTGATACGACCGCAGAGGTCGAACCCTGAACAGTTGGGGCAAGTATGGACACAACATTCAAGCTTGATACAGCACTGAATTTTGGATTGTGATTAAATATTTGATACAGCATAGGTTTCTGACACAGAATGAATGTGGTCTAAGAACTTAAAAAAATTTAATTTACCTATTCAAACCATATCATTATTATTTGCTTTTATATATAAATCAGAAATAACCAATTTAAAATGGAAAATTTTAAAGAAAAAAAAAATCCCTCCCCAAAATTTTTTGAACCCCCTTATGATTCATCACCCCCAAACTCAATCCCAGCCTTCCCTTTGTGGTATGGTACCTTGCAGTACAATTTCAGAGAGATCCATACACTTGAACACAGTTATTGTCTGGAAACTAAAAAAATGCTTGTTTTTAGGCCCCTTTATGGCCCCAAATTCCTAAAGGTTTAGGGCAATTACCCTAAAACTCAAACCCATCTTTCCCTTTGTGATATGGAACCTTGTAGTACAATTTCATAAAGATCCATACACTTACACACAAGTTATTGTCCTGAAACTAGAAAAATGCTTGTTTTTTGTCCCTTTTTGGCCCCTAATTCCTAAAATTTTGAGGCAATTACCCCCAAAATCAATCCCAGCCTTCCCTTTGTGGTATGGTACCTTGCAGTAAAATTTCAGAGAGATCCATACACTTGAAGTTATTGTCTGGAAACTAGAAAAATGCTTATTTTTGGCCCCTTTTTGGCCCCATTATTCCTAAACGTTTTTGGACAATTACCCCAAAACTCAATTCCAGCTTTCCCTTTGTGATATGGAACCTTGTAGTACAATTTCAGAAAGATCCATACACTTACACACAAGTTATTATCATGAAACTAGAAAAATGTTTTTTTGCCCCTTTTTTGGCCCCTAATTCCTAAAATTTTGAGGCAATTACCCCAAAAATAAATCCCAGCATTCCCTTTGTGATATGGAAACTTGTGGTACAATGTCAGAGAGATCCATACACTTACACACAAGTAATGTCTGGAAGTTACAAAAATGCTTATTTTTGGCCCCTTTTTGGCCCCTAATTCCTTAACTGTTGGTACCATAACCCCCAAAATCTATCGAAACTTTCCTTTTGTGGTATTGAACCTTATGGTAAAATTTCAAAGAGAACCATTCACTTAAACTAAAGTTATTGTGCGAAAACCAATGTGTCTTCGGACGACGACGAAGCCAACGTCATACCAATATACGACCGCAAAATTTTTTTGCGGTCGTATAAAAAAGGGGGATTTTCCAGTTTTCGGACAATAACTCAAAAATGCTTGAACAGTTTTCATGAAACTTTGGTGAATTGTTTATATCTATTGATGTGAGCTCCCTTTCGATTTTTATAAATTTAAGATTTTACGTTTCCGAGTTATGGGGTTTTATTCATTGAAAAGGGGGATTTTCCAGTTTTCGGACAATTACTCAAAAATGCTTTGAGTAGTTTTCATGAATCTTTTGTGACTGGTTTATATCTATTTACAACGCGACGGGCGTATCATGCGCTCATGGCGCAGCTGTTTATTTCCATATACATGTATACCTTAACATTAAGATATATATGGCATTTTTTTCAGAGACAAATGTCTGTGGGGGAATGTATAGAACACCGAAAAAAGGGGGATACTTACTCAACCATCTGCGTTTATATCTGTTTATCGATTAGTTTTTTAATAAAAAATATGTTATTCGTTTCTTTCTTCCATGATCAGTTGTTTTATTTATTTGTGTTAGAAAAGTATGGCCACTTCCGCCTGTATCTGTTGCATTTACAGTAGGTCTCGGAAAGTGTATAGAGTGTGAAACGTATTAAATTTAAACATTAAAGAACACAAAATTATTCTTAAAAAGATTTCTTACATCTTTTTAAAATGATCTTTAAAACTTATATTGATCAATCTTTTATCTGCCTTTTGTCATTCAAAACTTATTAAAACGATAAGTGTTGAGATTTAGAAAAACTTAGCTTAAGCATTGACCTAATAAAGTTAATGTACTGGTCCCTGGTCACTATAGTCCCGATAAATCAACTCATCAACGGTGGCTCGCGAGTGGGAGAGTCGATCACGGGGAGGGACTAAATTATTCGGGTTAATGGCTGTGATAACAATGAAACATTTTAAAAACAATAACTAGATTAGATATTATTTTTTGACGACACAGTTAACATCAATTTCAATTTCCCAGCAAACACAACGAAATCAGGCAGCGAGTTCCATTCGTTTTCGGAACAGGAAACAGCACTAGCACACACGTCGACAAAAAGATCTTGCAACATTATGCTTATAATACATGTTATAATAAATAAAATATCTGACTAAAACTGTTAGTTTGTCGAACACAGCGCTTTATACCACTCAAGTCTAATTAAATTTCGTTGAAATCCATAAGATTTGAAATATTTCATCAAAGTCTGTTTTTGGTGCCCTTTTCAGGTATACATTCCAAAGTAACTTTCGAAGTGTTCGACAAAATTCGTTCTATTTCACTTTGTCGCATGATGGACTTGATCAATATTGAAAGAAAAATAAGGCCTTTATCGTACTAACCCTTCAAAGCTAAACATGCTGAATTAACATATTCTTTTGTGGGAGAGCGTTTATATGTTGACATGTAGATGTCTTTCAGTTTTATTATCATAGTGTTTGTATGTGTATACATGATTTTAAATTCCTCTAGAAAACATCCATTTTCAAATAATCCAATGCCAACAGTAGTCTTTTAGATGTATATCTATTTTCTTTCTCTTTTTCGTATAGCATGTTTAGTATAAATAGTCAATAAATCTCAAAAACAAATATAAGACGTTTGTTTTTGACTATGTTCATTGTTTTCAGTTATATATATTAATTCATTGTTTGTCACAATGTTTTTTGACATTTATTCACAATTTTTCTATATCTAGGTAGACTTGGGAGGGTTAAAAGCTTTAAAAAATATTCTTATGACATAATATGTCCATCGTAGAAGACTTTATAACTTGTAAGAGGCATGCACTATTTGAAATTTAGAAGTAAGGAGTTTTGTGTGTCTATTAATTGGGTTGCCTGTCTTAATTATTTATGTATACTTCACACCTCCTTTAGATCATATTTAGAAATCAAAATATATTAACATGCACTAAATATCATTGTGTATAACCGAGGAAAAATAGCATGTGCGGTGTGTCCCTAGGTTTTCATTTACATGTCAACTATAATGACTCTAAACATTCATAACAACGAGCGACTGGATAACATGTGGAATGATCACGTGTGCGTTTTTATACCTTACAAAATTGCAAGAGTTTCGACTATTTATAGAATAATGTTCCTGTGTACCGATATGCATGATTGATCACGATGCATCTTTAATAACTAAAATAAAGAGTACAAACCCGACACTGTGAAGGACCAATCGGCAATCCTCGGGTGAATCCGCTACTCTCCTTCTGTTAGATGAAGGTACGGAATCGGCCGAGTTGTGACGAATGTGTGAAGGACATTTACTAGGTCTCAAATTGCCCCACCCAATCAACATACTTTTTCTATGAAAGAGTCAGTGACGTCTTCCAATCAGGTAGTAAGAAAGCATTCGCCCCGAAGACTGTCCATCGTTCAACTTATAAGACCGCCTCCGAGGAGACGGTAATTGTGTGGAAAATAAAAGGGCCTAGAATGGTATAATTTTTAATCAACACCATTGTCCTATATTAGTTATATATAAAGTTGAATTCTTTGATTCGTCGTTTTTACGTCATGCTGGCTAACAAATTGGACCTCGTTATTTTAGTAGTATAGATTAGATGCGTATATGACATTTTTTCTTTAACTGCCCAGTATTGTGATTAAAACATAGGTGGTTGCAAAATGTCCTAGGACGAAAATTTACATACGACATTTTTCTTCTAATTTTTCTCCAAAGTCCAATAAGCCAACATCTTGAATCAGCAACACTCTTTTAAGGTCATGTAGCCAATCTGGACGTCTAACAAGCCTCTCTAATAAGGTTTCAGCGGCAGATATTGCTCCATTCTGTTTCTCTACTGCTTGAACCTTTTCCTGTAATTTATAATAACAGAATTTGTTTCGTATTTACTTGATTATTTATTGCTGTATGAATCTGAAGATTCGAAAATATTAATGACACCTTTTTTTAAGAAACAGTTATTGAGATTAAAATATTTGTCTTATTTCATATTGGAATTTTTTTTTTTCTCCTAAATTTGTTGTATTTGTGTTTTTGATTTAAGCAATACTAGTTCCGATATTTTTTGGTTTGCATATCTTGAATGTTCTTTCCTTGATTTATATTTCGATAGTCCTAGTCTAGACCATGTGGCCCAGGACACTTTCGTAACCGATGTAACAATGTATGTCAGTATTACTGTCATGTACTCAGGCGCAATACATGTATGTAAATGGAATCCTGGGATTTTAAGAATGTTGAACCAAATGTGTAAACTGGGTCGCAGACTCAGAGACTTCACACAAAAGTCATGAGACTTTTATTCAGTTTGTGAATTAATCGGCGAGTTTACTTAAGCTTCGTTCTGTATTTTTTTAATTGGGAGTCCGAAGAACATTTTGTGCATGATTAAAGTCTTTACAACACTGTAAAAATATTTAAAAAAAAAATTCGTATGTTTTCCAATGCATAGTTGTGAGGTTGTCATGGGAAGCACGTATAGTCATGAATGTTGAATTTAATAAGGAAATAGAAGATAATTTTGGAATACCTCGCGATTACTGTCTATCAATCAAAGTTACGGAATCTTAGTATGCTTTAACTCCTTAGGTTGGAACTACATAAGACAAAACTGTTATTACTTTAGGGACTATGTGTCTGGATCGATTTTCTGATTTGGCCGACCCCAGAATCCGTTATTTTAAAGCCCTATCAACTCTATTCGGGAAAATATTTTACAACTACCTCACCTCGAGCTGGCGCCTTTCTGTTTACAGCACCATACCGTATAAAGAAGCAGGTAAGAATTGAAAAGAAGACATATTTGCCTTTCAGAATCCGTAAATCTTTTGAGAATACCTCTTCTCTAACGATTGTTATAGAACAATTTAGTTAAACATATATTTGTGTAGCTACCGAGACATTGTTATCTCTCTGACACGCAGGCGCTTGGGTACACAGTTTTGGATGTTTTCATTTAATTTTCAATTTTGATACCATGCACATTCTCAACGCTCCTAAACTTGTCTTACCTTGTTTCAGGTGAATTAATCTAATCTGATAAAATAACTTTTAAGTATGGATAGAGAAAACTAAGACAGAATCACCGAAACCGGCACCCAAACTTTGCAATAAAACCGACAACAGTTTATCCAGTCATATTGAAGCCAATTGTTGAGTATGACAGTGATTTAACCATCAGGCAACGAGGAAACAGAAGATTAATCTGAACCCATTCTCATGACACCTAGCTACGGGGGAGACACATATCGGCGACAGAAAGCTTCGCAAGATGTGACAAGTGATATACTTGTTTCTGACAGTTCATCATTATCGTTACCTGTGATTATTCGTCGGTCAACTAGAACTACGATAAAGTCAGCTTCGATAAAGTCAGGATCAGATAGCATTATGAAAATCTACGAATATTTGCACTTGAAGCTATGACTCATATTATGTGGCGTGAATTTAATGGAATTCCTTACTCACCGGAAGATCTGACATTCATGCTAATCTTTATTTTAACCGAATATGCCAAATCCCATACAAGTTAAAAGAAATGTGTTATTCTTTCAGTTGGATTACATGATCATTAGTTAATCTATAAAGATTAAGATTAAGATTAATAGGTCATACGATAAGCAAGAAGAGAGCCTATTACAACGGAAATTTTGAAACATATGAATTATCATATGCCTCTGAAAGTCTATTTCGAACGTATTTGAGAATACTATTGATGTGTCTATTGTGCTTTTCACATATTCTGAGTTTCGGATTGTCTATTCATTTTCATTTGTTGATATGATCATGTTTATTTTTTTCAGTGGCTTCGCCGAGCGATAACTCTTTTTCACTTTTGTACGCGATTGATTCCGGCATTTTGTGTTGCAGAATATTTCATTTCACTTTCTTATGCAATGTTATTTATTTTCAGCTCTTGCCAGGCTGAGATATTAATTTTCAAAATCCTCCTGTCCCCTCCCCGAATATCAAATGGTCGTCTTCTTATTGCAAATTAAAAAAAAAACGTTATAACTTCCATTCTTTAAATAAGAAAACCCGAAAAGTGTCTTAAACTTTCTTCTTTTTTTATGTTTATTGTATTTGCAATTGAGGATACAAATGATAAAATATATGTATTTATTAACAATCAGAAGCAATGTTTGTTTGTTCTACTGTGAGCACGAGTTCGTGTCTACGTCTATTTAGTATTAAAACATTTTTTATACTGACCGTATCTTGGATGGTGATGCATGTAAGATATCTAATTATGTCTGACGGTAAAACTCGTCTACAAAATTCTTCCTTTATTTCATTAGCTATTTCTTCTTCGCGTGTACACATTTTCAACTCAATACCCACGATACAGCATTCAATGTATGTTAATGGATAACGGAAACCAACAATGCCTCAAAGTTGCGTATGTTTTCTGAAAATAATAAAATGTATCCGATTTTATCTGGATAGATGCACAGGCCTGATAAAGCTAGTTTGTCTAGCGAAATATTGCGTATATCTATTTAAAATCTAATAGAACTTTCTTATTGTATCAATTAGCGTGTTTAAGTTATATTCTTAGACGTTTATATATATATATATATAATTACTCTAAATATCAGCACAACAATGTTAAATCTCAATGCGGAAGCAAATTTTTGTTCTTTCCTCGCCGGGATTCGAACTCATGATATTGGGATATTGTGACAACACCGCCTGCACTGTAATATATACATTTCTCTAATTCTTCGTCAATTTATCCCTTTCTGCACCCATTGTATAAAAAAAATTTAATCAACGTGTGGTTCGTTTGATCTCAGTTCTTCATTGGTTAAAATCCGATTATGACGTCGAATTTTCTTGCTTTCCATTGAATTTCCTATTGTGACGGCATGAAAAATGGCGACCATGCCTGATGACGTCACATAGAAAGAACACATCTTTTTGCAGATCATTCAAAAAGAAGGAATAAGTTTGCCTGCATATTGTTTGAAAATCATTAGAGAAACAGATTCCACCACCAAATCTCGTGTAATACGATATTTATCCACTCTCGACAGTTAAATTTTAAATATTTAAAACGCTCGGCGAGCCTCGCGTTTTAAATTTGAAAATTTAATTGTCTCGACTGGATAAATATCGTATCACACTCGATGTAGTGGTAGAATCTATATATATGTACACGTCTAAACATGTGACAGCTTTATGACAGACATTCTCCATCGGATAACACGTCATGGGTAATACAGGGCGCTGGACACGGTACAGGTGGTGTTGCCACGATGACACAGGAAGCAAGGATTCGGATCCCGCTGAGGGAAGAACAAAAATTTGCTAACGCAAATTTACAGATCTAACATTGTTGGGTTAAATTTAAGACGAATTATATATATATATAAATAAGAAGATGTGGTATGAGTGCCAGTGAGACAACTATCCATCCAAGTCACAATGTGTAAAAGGTAAACAATTATAGGTCAAAGTACGGCCTTCAACACGGAGCCTTTGCTCACACAGAACAGCAAGCTATAAAGGGCCACAAAACAATTCGAACAGGAAAACCAACGGTCTAATCTATATAAAAAACGAGAAACGAGAAACACTTATGAACCACACCAACAAACGACAACCACTGAAGAACAGGCTCCTGACTTAGGACATGTAACCCTATATATATAAATATGTGGAAGTCTATATAAATATGTATATGTATAAAGTGCCTAGAAAATCAACCTAACGATGTTACTTCCTCCCCGAGCGGGGCTGGAACGTGTACTTTTATATATTGTTTTATATAACAAATGGACAAAAATGGCTGTGTTAATTTAGACCTCAAAAACTACTCTGAGTACAGACTAACCTGTGCAGTAGTAAAAGTTTTAAGGCCTGGCATCCACTAGATATATAAAAGTTAAATGCATTTTTTGTTTCAGAAAGATAAAATCTTTTTTGGATTTTGATGAGCATTTTTTTTCGTTCCTGCAGAAGGTGTAAAAATAAACTAAGTTGGGATACAACTTTGAGATGCTTCTTCTCAGGTAAAAACTGTATTGTATTGTATTGATTGTCCTTGATTGGCATGGACAATAGACAGACAATAAATATCTACACAACTATAGGTGAGTTAAAGGGTGTAACTGAGTGGACAGTATCAAAAGCAATTCAGGTGTTTGTTTATTTTTACACCTTCTGCAGGAACGAAAAAAAATGCCCATCAAAATCCAAACAAGATTTTATCTTTCTGAAACACAAAATGCATTTAACTTTTATATATCTAGTGGATGCCAGGCCTTAAAACTTTTCCAACTGCACAGGTGAGTCTGTACTCAAAGTAGTTTTTTGAGATGTAAATACAGCCATTTTTGTCCATTTGTTACATGTTATGATGAACCTTAACCGAAGTATGTCGCTTACATCAAAGTGTACAGCAACTCATATATATAATTATCCGTTTAGGCTTATGAGCAAGCAATATTCTTTTAAAAAAAACTATTTTGAAGATTATTGTTATAGTTTCAGTGATAAAATATGAATAAAACAGTCATCATAATAACATTTTACAAATTATCAGAAGTTACTTTCGATTTGACAGTTTACTTCCTAGGTAAAACCACAACCATAAAAACCATATAACTTCTTAAAAGTTTTTTTTTTAAGTCGGAAAAAATCTATTTCGCATTCAAAACACGTTGACAAAAAAAAATCCACTTACTTTAACATGTTTAATCTTATCACTGTGTATAATGATACACACACACACACATCTATATTAAATGTAATTACACAACGCCGTACACGTCCTGATTTATTGATATATGCCTGAAGGATTTCCCGGTTTCTTAAAATATATTTATTTTTTCCCGAATGAACAGTTTTTAAAGTAGTTTCAATTTGGTTCAGTACAATTGTAGTAACAACCTACAATGTTACACTAAAAGTGCGATAGGAGTTTTGATTTATTAGGCAAAGTACTGACGTACTGTTGACTCCAATCTAATCAAAAATTAAATCATTTAACTGCTCCCTTTCTGATATGCTACATGTCAGAACGGGACCAATTAAAGGATTTAATTTCAATTATAATATAGATCCTGTTTACTCGGATAAATTCAAGAAAGACGGGTGATTTTCATCTTCACCGTCGATCTCTGAAAAAAATATACATATTTGCAGTTATATAAGCTGTACATAGGTAAACTAATTCAGAGACAAGTGCATGCCGGTGAAAGAAACTGGCAATTGTTTTCTTGGGTATCTAAATACTCAACGCATATTTAGATTGATAAAAAAATCAAAAATTGATCAAGAGGATCGACAATGGCCACTGAAACAGGGCATGCACAGATGATTCGGAAATATTATTTTGCCATATGACACCTAAGACCACAATTATTGGGTCCGTTCAGAGAACTACCGTTGGTGAGTTTTGTCTACCATTGGTAAAACAATTTACCATTGTTACGATAACGGTACCAATGTTAACAAATTAAAATTAGCGTTGGCTACCATTATAACAGACTGGCTAGAGTAAAGTTAGGATTGGTAAGTCACGTGCTCAGAACTTTCAAAATGGCAGCAAGATTACCAATACCAACTGTACAAGACCTTACAACTACAATGTAGTTTGTCCAATATACCAGAACTTGGGTACACAAAGAAGCAGTGGAAAACCAACTCTCGTTACAAATACATACAAAACAAAATGAAAAATAAAAAAATAAAATAAAAACAAACCTAAGCAAACAATTGTAATAGTCCGATGGATCGGTGACAAAATTGTGGGTTTGATGATAAAAGCACCAAATTTGGCATGGTAATAGTTCTGGGTGTTTCAAACAACATTAGCTATGGACCCACCTTGCAATTTCAATATGGCGGGTTTTTTTTTCAAGATGGCCGCCATAAAATATCAAAATCAAAATATATCACTTATATAATGCCAAATTCAAGGCCAAATTTGGCATAATAGTAGTGCTGGGTGTATCGAAAAAAATATAAGCTATGGACCCACCTTGAAATTTCAATATTGCGGCTTTTTCCAATATGGCCGTCTCAAAATATCAAAATCAACAAATATCACTCATACAAGGTCAAATTTGGAATGTTATTAGTGCTGGATGCTTTGAATAATATTACCTATGGACCCAAGTTGAAATTTCAAAATGGATGTTTTTTCCAAGATGGCCGCCATAAGATATCAAAGTCAACAAATATCCCTTATATAAGGTTACAAAGTGTTTTGTTTTGATGTACCTTCAGTAAAACTAAGAACCCTATGATACCAAGTGTATGTCACATTTTTATACTAAAGCCAAACATCAAAAGATGTGTGAGGAAAATATAGAAAATCGTAACTACGGTACCATTCTTGGAGAAATATAGTCTACAACGAGGGACCAAGTATAGATACTGGCGTTATTCCAATATTTAAGCTAGACTTATCTAGAATGAAAACTTCTCGACTCGAACAGTTTTCTTTATGATCAAGTGGCAGAGGATATAGTAATGACAAAAATGCCGTAATCTGAGGCTTGCCATGCTATAAACAAGGCAGTTGCTTGCTTCTTATGTTTAATGATTATTTTGGTGTTGCATCGATAACGACAACGATACGTTAATAAGCTGCACATACATGTAGTTCAGAAAGAAATGATGTAGGTAAAGTATTTTCCACAGTCATCAAAAACATTAGTTGATTATCGTTTGGGCAAATATTCAGATGCAGTCGAATTATTCCATTGAGGCAAATACGACGTATCCATTCGAAGCTACTTCTGTTTTATTCTTCTTTAATACTACATTAAACTCCACTAGAACCATCTCTTATTGTATATGACCCTTCTACTGGATGCTAGGACCAGTAAAACAGGTACTAAATGACAAAATGTACAGTTTATACTGGTCGTTTGTGTATGATACAATTATCCATTTATCTGCAGTACTAGAAGATACCATTTTAGTTGTTTGTTATTCTGTGGGTTTTTTTTTCCACAGTTTGATTTAGAAGAAAAACCTACATGGTTATAAAATACAAATAATTACACCATTACTAACACAATTCTATATTAATATTCTTGTAATGGTTAGAAAATACATCAAATAATACCATTACAAACTTAATCCCAATTTTATATTCTATTTTTAGAAATTTACCTGTGACGTCACTTTTTGTGGCGTTGATACATTAGTGTGACGCACACTGACACAGTACATTATTCTATTGTGGTGTATTATTGTTCTGTTGTAAATTAATTTTAGGTGTTTGTTGTTATTCTGTGATTTACATGTTGATATGTACTATTGTATTATTTATTTATGTATTTCTCTGTCCTGAATGTTCTGGCATTTATTTGTACTGTATTCCTGTCACGTAATATGTCATTTTAGCGGTATTTTAAACATTGCCATATAAGCGGGAGGTTTGGCTAGCCATTAAACCAGGTTCAGCCCACCATGTTTTCTTAAAATGTCCTGTACCAAGTCAGGAATATGGCAGTTGTTATACTACTGTTGCCTTTATTAATCACATAGTCCGTTTCTATGTTTGTTGGCGTTTGTTTTTGTAGCAGTTCAGTGTTGATGTTGTTCAGTATTGTTTCCTCTCATAGTGGATGTGTTTCCCTCAGTTTTGGTTTGTGACCCGGATTTGTTTCAGTTAAATCGATTTATGGCTATTGAACAGCGGTATACTATTATTGCCTTTATTTACAGTAGGTGTGCTTCTCATTCTTATACAAAGATCCTAACATAACTTTTACTGAGGAACGAGACCCTGGTTAGAACTATGTAACATTCAAAGAATGATCTAAGGTGCTCAAGCATGGTCAGCTGCCTAGGTGCTAGTATTGTTTAAAAAGCTTGAGTCATATCCAGTATCACCAAATTTAAAACATGTTGGTATATATAAAGTATTAAAATTTGACCAAATGTGAAAGTTTGAAATGAAATAAGGTTTTCCATTCCTGTACGATGAATAAACACGACTATCACTGGTTGACAACACAAACATTGAAAAATAAAAAACAAATAATAAAACATTAACAGCATATACAACACGAGTCCCTTTTCTTCAAAACTAGGGGTCAACGCAGGTGTTCCAGAAGGGTGTGTAGTGTCTGGCCACCTGTTATCACGATTGGTGTTACTCATTGCAAGTAGAAAATCGGTGATGAGTCGTATTTTAATTTTGATCATCTTGATCCACAGTCGAGGAAAAAGAAAGGGTTGTGGCAAAGAGAAGTTGAACATGTAAATTATCATTTGTGACTCAGATGGTATAGAGTCAAACAAATCCTAATGGTCTCCTCAAAACGTTCGAATGTTTCCATTTATGGGATCTTTGATTAAATTGTCTTGCAAGCAGCATCAACATATCATGGAAACACAATCCCTAGAATATCGTATGAACTGCAAAGAGCAATTTGATATCGAAGAAATGAATATCAGCAGAGCCTTGTCTTAGTTTAGTTCATGTTCACTTTTTGGCGGCCATTTTTAAATTTATCGCTATTCAAAATTTCTTTTAAAGTCTGATATACCGCCATGACTTACTAGAAACGTTGGATTACATTTCGTATGTTTTTAAAAGTTTTGATTTGAATATTATTTGCTTTAAATTATACATGGTGGTGAAATTTTGACTGATTGACAGCCATCTTGGAAATGGCCACCATATTTGATTTTTCAGAGTGGGTCCATAGCTATAGCTATAATTGACTACCATGTATATATCTACAATTGTGCAAAGTTTCACGCTTTTATCATCAAACCCACAATTCTTCTTAAAATATGCACGAATCAGCTGGACTATAACAAAAAAATTGAGAGATTGAGAGAAAAAAATAAATGAATGCCATTATTTGTGTTTACAGATGCAGATTTTGTTAAAGAGCAACTTCAAAGAAAGTTACAATCAGAACCACCAGAAAATCCAGTTTATTTTGAAATTGTAAATGGTGAAGTTGCTCTCCCAGAAGCTTTATTTACTACTACTTTAAGTAAACTGAAAAGGATACTAGTAATTCAAATACAACAGAAAATGATACCGGTAATAATAATGTGCCTGATCAAGAGGATATATCTAGCCATACATCTGTGTCCGACCATGAGGAAGAAGATGATAATACCAGCGGGCGATATGAGTGGAAGATCACAATAACGAGGAAATTCTTACATCTTTTGACAGATAAAACAACCGCATCTGATCATTTAAAAAAAAATGTGGATTGAAGTTTCTAAATGTATGGCAAAAAATGATAGCGCTACTCCCCCAAGTTCTGCACAGTGCAGGGAGAAGTTTTACTCATTAAAAAGAAGCTAAAGAAAATATATAGCAGACTGCAAAAAAAAAACAGGAAATAAGAGATCAAAACCGTTCTATTTTGAGACAGAAATGCAGTTGTTAATAAACGACGACCCCGCATTTAAACCGCTGATCGTTAAAAGTTCATTTGGCTTCAAAGAAATTAACAACAATAATGTAAACAGTCCAGATGATAACGATGATGATGATGATAATGATGATGATGTTGAAGACGTGGATTTGCTATCAACATCTGTATCAACATCGGCATCAACATCGGCATCTTCCAGTGGTAGATCTACAAGAAAACGCACTAAATTTGACGAACTTAAAGATTACTTAGAAGAAAGAGACAATACATTTTATGATGCTGTTAAGGAAATGCAAGATACACAAAATAAGTAAATGGAAAATTTGATTGAAAATTTTTAGAATTTAAGTATTTCAACAGGGAGTATTGAAATGTAATCTGAAAAGTCAATTGTTATGTTGATATTTTTATTATTGTT